AAAATACCTTAGTAGCGGCAGCTTAGCGTTCCTAGATTAACACTATATTTTTTCGCGATTTAAGAATATATCAGCTTTTTATTACGCTTTAAAGCATTAATAGTAGTAAGAGTAGCGTTAATTAGTTACATTATAGTTACGTTATAGGTAGTTAAAGTGGATAGAATAATTAGTATTAGAGAACGCGATCCGGCGTTAGCCCGTCCGCAGCGTTAGCCCGTCCAGCACCTCTACTAGCATAGTACAGGACCCGCGCCCGCCTCCACGTCTTGGCCCCGCAATCGGCATTCACCTCATGATGCAGCGCCAAGTCCTTATACCACCCGACAAACTCACATAACGCCTTCGTCCAACATGATAACAGGCATTCACCACATCAACCTGGTGGTACCGCCCTCGACCCTCCACCTCGCCAACGAATTCTACTCTCAAACCCTCGGCCTGATACCACGCTCCGTACCCCATCTCCAGCGTGAAACACTCGCGTGGTTCGACATCGGCACATCAGGCCAGCAAGTGCACGTCGCGATCGGCAAGCCCGAGGACTTTGCTCACCATTCCTCACGCCATCTCTGTTTCCGGGTTGGCAGCGTAGAAGCGCTGAACGAGCTGCAATCGAGGGTATGGGAGCATTTTGAGAGGAAAGGCGAGAGCGCGCCATTAATGGCTGATAAGCCTGGTGCGAAGAACAGTGGAGCGGAGGGCGTTGAGTACCCGACGAGATTCTTTGCAAGGGACTTTGCGGGCAATAGGTTGGAGTTTAGTGTGTGAGATGTAGCTTTTGTGAAAGCAAAGGTTAGATGATGATATTTGTTGCAACGCCACAACAGTGCTAAATCCCCACCCATGCCTTTCTCTTAGCTGAATACCAGGGGAACACAATGTCGTCTCTTCCATTTCAAACCAACAACATAGCAGCCACCACACACTGCATCTGCACCTCTAACGCCTCGCCACTACTATTCCCGAGCGATTTGACAACCGCCCCCGGGAAATTACACGTTTATCTGTCATTATCCAGGTACCTCCGACCATACATGCTCTCCCTCTACGTCCCATTCGGAAAAATCCTCATAATATCAAAGCACATGTCCTCACAGGGCTTTATCTCCTTGTACAGGCCAGGCTGGATCATCTCGTCGGCAAGCGGATTCCTATTGCGAGCAAACGCCGCGCTGTCGTTGAAACCGGGTACTATGTCGGGAAGAGAGCCGTTGGCAAAAGGTGTTTTGACATTGCGCGGGACAAAGGATGATTCGTTTGCGGTCTAATCTTCGTAGTGCGGTATGAGAACTATGTAGAGCCAGGATTTGAACTCCTTTGCATAACCGTCCCATGTGCGGGCGAGTGAGTATTATGATTGAGAGATAGTAATTTAAGAAACCTGTACAAGCGTCATTATAAATTGATCGAATTATTTACGGGCTTAGCTATTTTAGAATTCTATGAGGGACGCATTATTGTATTTGTAGCGGGTGTTAGGTTGTACGGCGTAGGCAACGGTATTACAAACGTCAAGCTCAAAGAGGACTGAGTAGAAGTCGTCTAGGTGTGGTTATTAGTAAAGCTATTGAAGGGTGGGAAGTATGTTTATGAACTGGCTCTTGTGGTCTAGTTGAAGGCCCAGAAGACCCGGCCTCCGTCTCACATTGTACCTACACGGTTGATGTATAGTGGTTCTGAGCTCCCCTTAACTACTACCAAACTATCATAAGTCTTTATGGCCTACGAGTTTCTGATATAGAACTGGCTCTTAGATATGTACATATAAAATTATCGACACTAAATCTCGACGTAATGCTCAAGATAAAAGTAAAATTTCTCGCCTTGTTAATATTCATTTGTTTCTTCAGCGGAAAATATCAACCCTCTAGCACTATAATTACCGCCTACTAGTTATGCAGAAATATTTATATTGGGAAAGCATGCTGAGCTTTTTGCCTATTAAAGTTTCTAGTGCGATTCATATTGCCTAGGTTGTATACAATAAACAACGTAGACTTGCTATTGGTTTTAACTGTGAATAAGATGATTTTAGTCGCGTTTCCATAATAATGGTGGAGTTTGTGGTACTAGTAGCGAGTTTAAAATGCTAGCTGCTCAGCTAGTCCTTTTCTAGCTTTGTCCCCCTACTACTGATGTAAATATCTAGACTAGTTTTAAGCTTAATAAATAGCGAGGCTGGTATTAAATTGTACGCCTCGTATAATAAGTCCAAGTATCTTACGTTTAGTTTGGGGACCCATACACCACTCTAATACTGCATGTGTAGTAAATAGAGAGGAAAAGGGTATATAAGCTGAAAGCTAGAGAATATGGTACTAATATTTCCAAACGGTGGTTAGTCTGATAGGCAATATAGCAAATCGAGAGCAAAGGGCTTAGCGATAACACTAAGTAACTAGGCTGTGCCGTAACAAATGTGCCGTTTTCTAGGTATAGGTTATTTGACTTGTTGTCTGCATCGTGTCCCATCATAGTCAGATCAACTGAATGTGATGGCTATGGCCCGCCTGGAAGCAAGCCTGAATTACCAAGATGTCATTTCGGCCATTGGTTCAGAAAGTTAAGAAAAAGCTCGCCGCTTTGCTGACTGTGGGGAGGTTAAAACATCTTCTTAAGAAAAGCCCGCGCCGCAAGAGCTCGGTGACCAGATCTACTTCACCCAGCTTGGCTACTACAAATGACCTCGAAGTCGAGTCACAACAGCCTACTTTGACCGAGAGTCGCAACAGTGTTGAGAATAGCAGTCCAGGTGCTAAGCTTGAGCTAGACGTGCTAGGACAGATTCTTACGACTATTTTACCGCGCCCGAATCCATACGTACTTGGTTTGGAGAGAGCTGGGAGGGCGGTGTTTGCTCCTAAGACAAATGCATTAGTGGTTAAGAGGTCAGCGGGTCGGGGCAGCCAGGAATGTTTGAGAGCGTCTTAATGGTATTGCTAGGCGTCTTGTTCTGTCTATTACGCAACGTGAACACTCTATACGGCGCCAGATAGCGCTCGACAAGATTACAAAGCTCATGGTCGGACGTTGCTCGGCCCTCATTATAAGATCATGCAGTTCTTAGATTCGAAACGGTTCATTGAATCATAGAAGCAACGCGGAACATGCCTTTCTCTCTAATGATCTTCCGTCCAGGCAACGAATCATAATCACCCACGCCTAGCTTTGTAGAGAAGAACAAGGAACTTTCGAAATGAGCAAATTCAACCCCTTGAAGGATGCAGGATTCCCCCAATCCATGACAAAGAGAAGCTCAACAAGTTTCCAAGGATGGCTTCTGGCTTCTGGCTACAAACAAGCAATGCACCCGCAGAAAGAAGTACATGCGTCAGCGCCACTGAGGCTGTGCCGGGGAAGACGCGTGAGGCGAAAGACCGACGTCATTCGCTAGGATGAGGCGCCCGTGCCAGACCAAGCCGGCTAAGCTTACCGCGGCGCATAGATAAGGCCCCGGCTGCCGCTTCACTTCCTTGGCCACTTGCTCTGGCCAGCAACCCTCGAGTACATTTTACTTGTACTCCTTCCACCCTCACACATCCTCACACCAAAACCGATGGGAGAACCCGACGACCCTTCTATACGCAGCTTCCAGTCCAAGGCAGTGTCTGCACTTGGCTTGGGACGCAAGACAGTCACTCCAAGCCACGTTCTCCCGACCCACAACCCCCACCCGACCGCCCATCCAGGCTTAGGCGGCGCCCAGGCCGACAACAACAACAACAACACCAGCAACGAGAAGCATGCTGCCCCTGAACTCAAGACGACAGACTCCAGCAATGGCAGTGCAAATACCACGGGTGATGGAAATGCGTCTTCCACCATAGAATCTGGGAAGCGTCCCTTCTACTCACTCACGCGGGTCAAGAATGGAACCCTCCGGTTCATCACCCACACCAAGAATGCCGTCACGCACAGCTGGATCAATGTCTTGCTAGTCTTTGTGCCGGTTGGCATCGCCGTCAAGCTTGTCGGCTTGCAGCCCGAGATTGTCTTCTCCATGAACGCCATAGCCATAATTCCACTTGCGGGCCTGCTCGCACATGCAACCGAAGTTGTCGCCGCCCGCGTTGGAGACGCGCTTGGCGCACTGCTAAACGTGTCTTTCGGCAATGCCGTTGAGCTGATTCTCTTCATCATTCTGCTTGCCTCTAACCAGATAGAGGTGGTGCAGGCCTCGCTGCTTGGATCTATCCTTGCGAACCTCCTCCTTATCCTCGGTATGGCATTTTTGTTGGGTGGCCTCAAGTACCAGGAGCAGGTCTACAACAACACCGTCACTCAAATGAGCGGAGTCATGCTTGCACTAGCCGTTACGAGTCTTCTGCTCCCTACTGCCTTCCATGCAGCCTTTGAGGACAATGCCATTGCCGATCACGAGACTCTATCCGTCAGTCGTGGCACGAGTGTCATTTTGTTGCTCGTTTATGGTCTCTATCTTTTATTCCAGCTCAAAAGCCATAGATATCTCTACGCCAGCACTCCGCAGCACATCATCGATGAAGAGTCCCATCCCGGTGTTCTTGCTGGTGCTTTTGACTCGTCCAGCTCAGATTCTTCGTCCAGCTCCAGCAGCAGTGACAGTGACGGCTCGTCGCATTCTGATGGAACAATGAAGAAAAAAGCGAAGCGCATGGTCAAGAGGCTTCGTCGCAAGTCCAGTGCTAGCTCCAAAGATGGGAGTGCCCTTTCCGCTATAAGCTCGCCAGACGGCGAAGTCAACCAGAGTCCTTTCGAGGCTGAGAGGGAGAGAAGCAACAGTGTCTTCACTTCTAACACTGGTATGTTTGGAAATCGCCGGCACTCAGTCGACGTTATGAGTGGTGATGAAGCGGACAACGATCAGTATGCGCCAGTCGTTCGTGACTTTGAAGCTGCCTCGCATACCTCGCAATCGATCATGAAGAAGGAGAAACGCAGACACAAGAAGAAGAAGAAGGACCGCCGTGACCGCAACAAAGTCAGTACCATTCCTGAGAAAGAGGTTGCGCCAAACGAGCCTGCACCCAAGGTCACCTTTGCCCAAGATATTCAGCAAAACACGGCTGCTGCGACCAACCCGCGCAGGTACAATCGTCCTGCACTTCCCTCTTTGCTTTCCAACAATGTCTTCTCGAATCCTCAGAACCTAGCCCCACTTGGCGGCCCTGCTCCGAACATTCGCATGGCGGCGCCTCGTGATAACACAGTTCTGCGCACACCTCTTCGCCGTTCCAAGTCTCTTCCGGATCAAATTGGGCGAACAGCGCCTTACGCTAACGCAACCAATCACCCTACGGTCTCACCTCAAGCTGCCTTGGCATTGAACGAGGATGACGAAGCTGACGAGGTTCCCGACATGTCCATTAAAGCGGCCATTTTCATGCTCTTGATCAGTACTGGTCTTGTCGCCGTGTGTGCGGACTTTATGAGTGGTGCTATAGAGCCAATGGTGGAATCCTCTGGCATTAGTCAAGCTTTCATTGGTCTCATTATTCTTCCCATTGTTGGTAACGCGGCAGAGCACGTTACAGCTGTGACGGTAGCCATGAAGAACAAGATGGATCTTTCCATCGGTATCGCGGTCGGTTCGTCGATTCAAATTGCAATCTTCATCACGCCCGTCATTGTCATCCTTGGCTGGATGATGGGCAAAGAGATGACGTTGTACTTCAACATTTTCGAAACTGTTGCCTTGTTCGTTACTGTCCTGGTTGTAAACTTCTTGGTACTGGACGGGCGAAGCAATTATCTCGAGGGCAGTTTACTCATCGCTTCATACATCATTATTGCACTGGCCAGTTTCTTCTATCCTGATGGCTGCGATGCTAGTGCTATTGGTGGCAATGAAAAGCACTGCACTTGAGTTGACCGACCAATGGCGCAACTCGCTCCAAGGTATGGCGGAGAGGAAGACGAAGGTGCAGCCCTATCATCGCTGCTCAGCGGATGAAGATTGATGATGTCGGGCGTGAGAGGAGGAGTCTTTAGTTTGGTAGTCAGCTGTAAGCAATACCAGCTTTTAGGTAAATTGGGTTTGTTCCGGATAAAGCCCAGTCTTGTGTCTTTTCGGTTCTATTTTTCAGCAGCCCCAATCGTCATAGACGCCTACTAGCTTTACGTATCCTGGTGTTATAAATTGATACATTTGTCCCAGCTCAACATTTCCTATGAACTGCTTCGGTATCTTACAATATATGTATGTGAACGTGTCCAACGACTACTGATGCATACGAGTAGAGAAAGATGTTCACTTTACAGCTACTGCCAGCCACGATTGTGTAGATGTGACTAGGTCATGTTTTCGGGGTGTTTAATTGCAAGGCTAAGATGCATTTTGTGTAGTCGACGAACAGCATACCGATTATAGAATCGGGGGGGGGGGGCATAGTAGACGCGGGTAAATCTTATGCTTGGCAAGTGAAAACAGTGCCGGTGGGGTTATTGCTCGTGAAGTCATGCGTCACCTGGTCCAAAACTGTAAACGAAGCTCGGCCCAAGGGGTTGTATTTAAATTGCTATGCTTTGGTTATACTATGGCAGTCGGCAAAGGTGGTGGGGAAAGCAAATTTCACACTGGGACCAGCCACATGCAGGCCTACAAGCTAACTAAGATAGAATGTTGCAACAACATTCCAGAACTTGCACAACTTCGATCGTGGCGTGCCTAGTACGCTACCAATTTGATGTTCAATTACACGAGCTCCACATGGCGCAGACCCAAGCCTCTCCCTACGGGGGTCTCATTAGCCGGCGGCAATTGCACGAAACAAATCGCAGAGGTTTTCCAATCTGCATCCTATTCGAACCAGGTGCAACATGTGTCCATCGGCAATGTCTTGCTGCTCGCGTGGCGGATAGAAAGGGCGTTAGAATCGTGAAATTCCCTCCAGCTCACTCTGCCCAAGTCAAGTATATTCAGCTGTAGACCAAGAGGCGATTGTTTCAACGTCATTCACCCAGGATCTATTTGGGCCACCATGTTTCAAGAATCACGCAGATACACCCGATCAGGGGTCACAACCGCTTCCGATAGTAGCCCGGTCGGACGGCATTGTTTACCATAAACGAGCCAAGAGATTCCAAGCTTCTCTGACATGACATTCAGTACCGGAGCGCAGTCTTGGCTCTTGTACTTAAGTATATGGTAGGTGTGTAGGTCTCATTGATTCCTCCTCCTCATCATCCTTCAAGCAACTCAACCTTGAACATCAGGAAAAAACACAAGGAAAAATGGGTCTCAAGTCTCTTCTCGTCGCGGCCTTGGCTACCGTTGCTGTTGCAACACCTATTCCTGATCCTTTGAACGTGATTAGGCAGAGTGGGCCTGCTGCAGGACAGGTATGCAGATCTGCTTGCGTTTCTTAACGCAACACTCTGCCCGTGTATCCAAGCTAACATATCCAAAGGTCATCACTAAATGCGTAGCACCTGGTCAAATTGCCCTCGCCTACGATGATGGTCCATCACAGCTAACCCAGCAACTTGTCAACACTTTGAATGCAGGCGGTGCCAAGGCAACCTTCTTTGTCACGGGCACACTGTACGGCTGTATCTACAACCAAAAAACCGCACTCCAAAACGCATACAAGTCGGGCCACCAAATCGCCTCCCACACATGGACGCACCCGCAGAACTTTGGCTCACTATCTTCAAACGATTTGACCAGCCAGATGTCGCGTCTTGAGCAGGCCCTCGTCAACATTATTGGCGTCAAGCCCACGTACATGCGACCCCCTTACCTTGCTACGGGTGGCAATGTGCTACCAACCATGCGCAACCTGGGCTACCGCGTCATCACTTCTGATGTTGACAGTGAAGACTGGAACGGCAAGACCCCCCAGCAGAGCCAGCAGAAGTTCCAGCAGGCGGGTGCCGGTGGCAACGGACACATTACTCTCATGCACGAGAGTGAGTATTCCATTCCAAGTTTCTTCTAGAAAACTAAAAAAAAAAGAGGGGAGGGGAGGGGAGACGAAGAACATGCACTGACAATCTTGCTAGCCTACTCCTCCACTGTCAACACACTGACGCCCTGGTTGATCAACTGGGCCAAGAACAACAACCTTAAGTTGGTAACTGTTGGTAAGTTGGGCTGCTCTAAAATTTCTAGTGGCGCAAGACTAACAGGTTGCAGCCCAGTGCCTTGGAGACAATTCGGGTGCTTACAAGAGCGGCACCCCGAACGGCGCGGGCAGCTGCTAAACCCGAAGCGGGACCAAGATTTTGTAAATAGGCTAACAGAGGTTGTTGACTTTGGCCAAGGAAACTGTTACCGCCCTTCTTTTCGCTATGAATATTTTGAAACTATTTTACGGCCTCAATCTATCTCTTTTGCTGTGTCCGTTCACCTGGGTTCATCTGACGACTGAAAGTCGATATTGATATGCATTCTATTGTGCAAAAACTAGATATTGCGAGTTCTAAGGGTGAAAAGCTCCTGTTGATGCTCCACCAAAACCGTCAAGCAGCGTGTAAGGCCAAATAAGCTCTTCGCCAAGTCGCTCCAAATACATGGCACGTATGTAGCTTTTCGCTGGTGGATGTTGGTAAACCGTCGTCTTGACTGGGCCATATCTTCCAATCATCTTGAAATACAGCCTGACCAATTTTCTTCATCTTTCGTAGTAAAACGCTTTCCGGATTGCCAGCGTCCTTTGCACGATGCTTGTAGAATTCCACCCCTGCAGTTTTGTTTGCGTATCATCCTTTCAAAAAAAACATCGGACTTTTCCATTTGTCTCTTCAAATTTCTCCAAATTCGCTCCATCTTCCTCTAATACGTCACTGGCTTCTCCCGGTTCCCATAGCTGCTTCCAAGTCCAGGGTCAACACCAACACGCTCCTGCTTCTCGTTCTGACTAATGATGTACCAGGCATGAATCACACCTGGGATCCATCCGAGTATGTCCAACGCGATGTTAATCAGAAGGTCTGCACTGCAGCCACGCACGATTAGGACGGGCAGGAAGGGCAGCCAAATGGCAAGAAAGTAGAGTAAAACGGTACTCTTTGGGTCATGTCAGCGGCGGGGTCAGAGAAAATGAGCTGTGGGTAGGAGGGTACGAACGGTGCTTGATGGCATTGTGTGGTGTATGCTGTTTGTAGATCTGGATACAATAGGAGAGGCGTGCATCAAGTTTTGTCGGACTTGAAAGTGGATGTTAACTAATTTTCGTTTGCAGCTGAATCCAGATGCACAGGTAGAATGTAATTGGGACATATTTATATTGGTCTCCGACGCCACAGTTTGGTGTGAATGCGATGACGAAGACCAAGAACCAAACTAGTTGCCTTGAGGAGGGGTGGGGCATGGCGTGGCATCTCTCTTCCGGATATTCAATCTTGTCTTGCATATACTGCCGTTGACGGCGCTACAAGATGCATGCAGCTCTGCGTCAACTATCAGCCCATGGTACCATGACAGCTCCAAGCTTCTTGGAACAAGCAAAAGAAGCGACTAGCCAGTCCCGGTTTGCATTGGTTGCCCCAAGGCCAAAGGATCGCCCAAAACGTCTGTTTTAGCGCCACAGAGTGGCGCAGGTTGTTGCTATTCGGGTTGCATTGCTGAAGCATTGTGTTGTCTGGGTGTTGAGACTGCATACCAGTGTCGGACTGGCAAGGGCATCATCTCCCCACGCAGCACGCAAAGCTAGAGAAAGGATGCGTGTATCCGTTTGAGCCATTTCGAAGGAGACCATGAAGCAGAAAGATTTTTCTTTGATCTGATTCTAGTGTAAAAAGCGAGCATATGGAATTGTGCTACGGAGCTGTCAACCCTTGACATCCACCTGCTATTGATCCGAAGATGGGGAGTTCTCGAACGTGTCAGTCCGGGTCTGAAACAAGGACATAGATACAAACACGAGCACTTGGCACGGGGTAGCCTAGACCATGGCCATGCTTGGAAAAAAAAATCACCCTTGATCGAGAGGATGACGTCACTCAAGAACAGACGCCGCAACAGACTTGACATGAGATTGATCAATTTGATTCCTCTGGGAAAATAGCCTGCTTTTCCAGAAAAGGAGATGACTATTCTGCTATGAACTAAAACTTTTCCAAGTCCACGGGAGGGAGGTTCGACCTAGTCGATTAGGCAAAGCTAGATAGTACCTGACGACTCTTTGACAAGAGACACTACCGTAGCGCTGGCGCTAGTCTTTCTTTAGGCTCAACTGCCGCGTCATATTGTGGCTTGTCAATCAGGGAAGATCGGGTGCACCAGCCACTTCCATTTCGTATGCATATTGTACGCTAGCCTCGAAGTACAAGTGGATACTTTTACAGCTCCCAATCTTGAGGTTGACGCTATGCTTGCTCAGTATGGAGGGTAACCAGAGAAGCATTGGGTCAGGCGCTTGTTGCAATGTCTCTTCTAAGCTCGAATGCAGGGTCGCAGAGGCTAATCAAAAGAATTCGGCTTGGGGCGAAGGACTTGTGCTAAAGTCAGGGGTGAGGCATGGGGGTAGGAAAGGACACTCGTGAATGGCGGCGTCTGAATATAGGGTTGCGGTTTCGCATACGTCGTCGAGGAGAGGGCGCAGAAGGGAGTGTCGAGATGCCGATAGTGAAACTGCAAAACTGTCAGAGGCATCATCAAAATTGAAGGCGGCGAAGAAATGGCGAAAATATACATTTAGATTTTGTGGTGATATAACAATGTTATCGGGGTATCTGTAATCGGAAACTACAAGACGGGTGTGGACGTGTTTGAGAAGGGTAGCGTTTGGCTTCGAAGTGGATCTATTCTTTTCGGCAGCCGCGCCTTGAGAACAAGGTGTGAGTGGCGGGGACTATCCTAAGGTCGGAGAGGAGGGTTTAGGAGAAGGAGTTACTAATCTAATGGGCTGAGCGGGATGGGGGGTGAGGAAAGAAAAGGTAGAAATTTGGATGGGAGAAGGGAAAGGGGAAGGGCTATGTAGTAATAACATAAGACATTCGGCATCATCGTGTCGCATTATCATGAGAAGGGCAGAGAGGTGTACTGAAAATTGAAAACAAGTGAAGAAAAAAAAACAAAAGCAGTGACCCTATTGGGGTAGTGCTTTTACCATCCATTTACGAAAGGCTTTGGCCTTACTCCCTGATGCCTTGCTGGCTTGTGTATCCAAATGGCTTGCGGCAGTGAAGGCTTCGACGACGCTCATGGCGTTTGCTTCTTCGTCTTCGTTGAAGGTGATGAGGTCGAGGAATTGGCGGAGGACAATGGAGCCGAGCTTGGCGTGTGCTTGTTCGACGTAGTCGCTGTTTACGGTTTCGGCAGAGGTGCGGGCAATGACGCTCCATCCATCGGGCTTGAGGGATGCTTGGCGAGCAAGCAGTCGCTCGCTGGAGGCTAGCAGGATAAAGGCTCTTATGATTGCGTCCTTGTTTGTGATGTGATCGGGCGAGACGTCGAGGACTTCGAGGAAATCATCGAGCGAGGCGGTGCCGATGAAGGTGTGGCGGTGCTTGTATTCCAGATCGCGCTCCTGCTGGATGGCTGTTGCGGTGCCCGTCTTCTTTGGCAGGCGTTTTGGCGTGGCTGGGTGGAGGGAGCGAGTGTTTGTTGGGCTCGAGAGGCGGGAGGTTTCGCCGGGGGCATTGGCAGCCTTGATGGGGAGGCCGAGCGAGATTCTGCGCTGGTGTGTGTTTGCGGAGCGCTGGGGCTTGGATGTGTTTGCTTGCAGCTGCAGGAGCCCCTCGTTTGTCTTTGCACGGAGGGGCAGGGAGCGCGAGGCTTTTTGTGCACTGGCAAGGCGCGACTCAATGGTGGGGGTCGAGGGGGTGCGGAGGTGCGAAGGGCGGCGCTTGTGCACATGGACCGGCTCGTCGCAGTCGTCCTTGAGCGAAGGCGACTTTTGCAGGTGGTCGTAGGCAAAGTAGTCGGGGTTGTGCGCGTCTTCCTTTATTCGATCCAGCGAATAGAGGACGGGCTCTTCGAACAGGGTTGCGTCGGTGGCCAGGCCGAGAGCGTCGGCGGGGTCGATGGCCCTGGTGCGGGGGCTGGCGCGGGGGCTGGCAAACTTGAGGCCGTTGACGTCCGAAGGCATGACCCAGTGCTGGACGCCCTGCTGGGCCTTGATGTCGTGCTTGAGCTTGCCCTCGAGGGCGCTCTCCGTGTCGCTGGCCATGGAGAAGCGGCGCGGGGTGCGCGAGGGCGACGTGGGCTGGTTCTGCGTGTCGTAGCCGGCGTTGCGGAGGGCGTTGAGGATGGAGCTGTCCCCGCGGTCGAGGTAGAGCAGGCCGGTTCTCCACATGGCTGCGTGAGGGGGGAGCTTGGCTGTGGGAGCGAGGAGGCGTCGTTGTCGTCTGAGGGCTCCTGCTGCGTGCGATGGCCGTACCCAACAGTCACCCTCTACAGTCTTGTCGGACGCGGACAGGTGGGCGCGATGTGCCGCAGGCCGAGCTTTAGTACTTGGTCACGTCGTGCGTGTGTGCGAGTCGGCCGGCGCTAGTGCCCGCTTTTCACCGCCATTTTCCGCATCGTGTGGGCGTCGGGTGGAAAAGTCTGTCGCAGCCCATGCGCCCTGCTCTTTTCTTGGCCCTCCTTGCTTGTCCGCTGCCAGCTGATTTGGCCACGACTGCACACAATGCCACTCCCTGTACCTGCATGCCGAGCAGTAGGCCTGGCGCACCGCACGGCAGCCATCGCATCCCGACTCGTCCCGGCGTCGGCCATATCTGGAGGCTGGCGTGATGGCGAAGCAATGACGTGGTGGAGAGAGTGGGCCCGGCCGGCGCAGGGCTGAAGAAGAAGAGAATGCCCGTCGCCCACGCCCTCTGCGCCAGAAGCACCATCTCCAGGCCGCTCGCCTCGCCCAACTCTCCCATCGGACCATCTTCGGAACCCGTTTGCCATGGGCGAAAATCAGCGGGGCAGGTGACGGTGCAATCTGCTGCTGCTGCCATGTCCACGCGTTGCAGAGGGCACGCAGACGCCTCCATGCGGCACCATCGGCTGCCACCATCGCCCACCATGTCCACTGCCTGCTGCTCACCCACCTCTTGACCCCGCAGTGCCACGATGCTGCTCGCACGGCCGAATCGCACACTGACGCGTGCCAGGCCTGTTTCGCTCCCCAGGCTGTCATTCGTCGCCCATGCCCCCCCCCATCCAAGATGTCGTCTTTGTTGACATGCACGTGATGCTCCTAGCGTCGGGTCCATCTCGTTGCAGTCCACGAGGGCGTGGGCGTGGGTGTGGGTGTGTATTATTGTAGACACTGGTGCGGTGCTGGCAGACAACACAAGGGACGGCGCTAACCACTTGGAGCCAAGCCCAAAGCCAGTCCTGTCATCCACCACCATCACCTCCTCCTCCTCCTCCTTGACCTGCAAGGCTACCCTCAGGCCTCAGCCTCTCTTTGCTGACTGAACAAAGCGGCCTCCCACCTTGAAACCGTCAAATCATGACATGGCTGTTGCTCGCTCATTGCACACTTGGCCTGACGCCAACATCCCCTTGTCGTGTGTGATCCAGATAGCATTCCTGTTCCGGCTTCATCGTGTCCAGATCAGGGCCACATTCCAGGAACGCCGGTGGGCATTGCCGGGAGACATGCGGGTAGTCTAGAATAGGCATCAAATTAGACCATTACCGGGTAGATGGAGCTTTCACACCCAGTCCTATATTTAGTTAGCGTACAAACTCAAGGGCAGGAAGCCTGTTCGCCGAAGAAATGAAGTAGTAGCAAGTCTCTCGCAACTCCGAGACATAGACATAGTTATATATATGTACATATACGTATCCTAACAAGGCCCGGGACAGGCCATTGTTGGGTGAAGAGCCACAAAGATGAGGAGGTAATACGGGTCCTGTCCTGACGCTCGAGATACCCATTGACAACAGCCTGGTCCTAACCCAAAACCACACAAGCTCCATGCTGCATGCCACCAAACAGGAACACCAAACACCCATGTTGCAAGAATACATGCACTGGGCCCAGGCTGACATAAGGATGCAGACCCGACGTGTTCCGCCTCCTTTGGCCGAAGCTGCTTTCACCGCTCGGCCCTGCTGGCCCGCCAACTGAGCTTCTACCACGCGTGACGTGTTGTTTGCCAGCCACCTGTATTGTCTCCAGCGGACCCGTCGACATTTAAAAGGTCGGGGCCAGTACGCGCAAGGAAGAAAAACCCTGCTCAGACAAGAGACAATCTGGGTTGCAACTGCATCGCACAGGCGAACCGACTGTGCGAGAGTGTGCCCTGTGTAGCGTCGTCGCCATGCAGCGCCAGCGGCCCGCCAGCGCTAGCCGTTCCGGGTGCTTGGCGTAAACAAACCCAAAAACAACCGAGCAGTCAGCTCGTGGAGAAAGCAATGGTGCTAGCCTCAGCAAGGACACCTTGCTCCTCCTCCTCCCTCGCCCTCAACACACTCAGTCCCTCTCCGCACCTCGAGAGAGCGAGGCCCCGAGTGTGTGTCTGCGCAGTGGGAGGGAGACTTGGAGAACAATCCAATAAACAGTCTTGTTACCCCACCCACTCACACCGCTCCAACCCTCTCCCATCGCTCCGAGTCAGCTCCGCTCATGAAATTTCCCACTGCTTTGTTTCTTCCCACCGCCCAGCGCCTCTGCAACTGATTGTACCTGTTGCAGAACACGACATTCCCAACGAACCATTGCCCTGACCCCCCGTACCCACCCGCCCTAGAGGGCGTACATAGTCATGGACGACGGTCCTCCACCTCCCCCACCTCCACATGGTGCCAATCCAAAGACAACTGGAGGCAGCCATGCTCCTCCCGAGCCCCCTCCTACCGGCGGCCTCCCCCCGGGCAACTATGACATCTTCATCATCCCTCCACATTCTTCAGGGGGTGGCTTCATATACCTGCCCAGTCTGGGTGTGCAACAGAACAGCTTCATAGCTGGTGTCCTCAGCACCATAGCCAGTATAGTCCTTTGGAAAGCTGCCGAGCCACATGTCAAACAATACTTCCTCATCGTCAGGCATGGAGTCACGACGGGCGGCAATGGTGTCATTCTGCTCGCCGTCCTCATGCTCCTTGCAGGATGGGCTTTTGGCCAGACACAGGCCGGACGGCGATTCAATGGTGGAGGCGGCTCAGCGTATGGCAATGGGCCACGCGGCGGACCAGGTGCTGGCTCAGGTGCTGGTGCCGGCAACACTGGAAGCAGCTCCAGTTACCAGCGAGCACCCCCACCACCGCCTCAGAACGGTGGCTTCCCTGGCAGTCCCCCGCCTCATGGAGGATGGGGCGGATACCGTCAATACGGCTCTGCATCGTCACCCCCTCCACAAGACGACGGGCCTTCCTCGGACGAAGAGGCTGAGCGAGCTGAAGAAGAGCGGAAGCGTGCCGAAGAGAAGGAGAAGAAGGCGAAACAGGAGGAAGAGCGCAAGCAAGCTGAAGAGGCCAAAAGAAAAAAAGAAGAGGAAGCCGAACGTAAACGTGCCGAGGAGATTGAACGTGAGCGCGCCGAGAGAGCAAAGATAGCAAAGGCACAAGAAGAGGAGCGTAAGCGTGCAGAGGAGTTCAAGCGCCAAGCAGAAGAGGCCAGAAGACAAGCTGAAGAGGCCAGAAGACAAGCAGAAGAGGTCAAGCGACAAGCTGAAGAGGCCAAAAGGCAAGCTGAGGAGGTCAGATTGAAGGAAGAAGCTAGGCTGAGGGAAGAAGCTCGGCTCAAAGAGGAAGCTCGACTCAAGGAGGAGGCAAGAATAAAGGAGGAAGCCAGACTCAAAGAAGAAGCCAGACTCAAGGAAGAGGCCAGACTCAAGGAAGAGGCCAGGCTAAAGGAGGAGGCCAGGCTCAAGGAAGAAGCCAGACTGAAGCGCGAGGCCGAGGAGAAGAAAAAAGCAGAGGAAGAGAGAAGGAGGCGTGAGGCCGAACAGCAAAGGCTTGCCGAAGAAGAGAGGCAGAGGCAAGAGGAAGCCGAACGACAGCGCATAGCAGAGGAAGAACGCAAAGCCGAGGAAGAGCGTCGCCGGGCTGAAGAAGCCCGACTAGCTGCTGAGGCGGCCAAGAAGAAGAAGGAAGAAGAGGACCGCCGGCGAGCGTGGGAGGAGCTTAAACGAGCAGAAGAAGCACGGCAGAAGAAGGAGGCAGAGCAAAAGGCCAAGGAAGAAGCAGCTAAGCTTGCGCGTGCCAAAGCCGAGAAGGAGAAGTGGGAGCAGATGCGCAAACGTGAGCGAGAGCAGCGTGAACGTGAGGCACGAGAACGCCTGGCCAAGGAGAAAGCCCGCAAGCAACAAGAGGCTTTGGAGAAGGAGAAAGCAGAGCGTGAGGCACGCGAAGCAGAAGCACGAGCTCAGATCGAAAAGGAGATTCGCGAAAAGCTCGAGGCCGAACAGAGAGCCAAGGCTGAAGAAGAGGCTGCGAAGAAGGCTGCTGCTGACAAGGCTGCTGCCGAAGCTGCCGAAGCAAAAGCGAAGCTTGAAGCAGAACTCGCTGCCGCCAAAGCGAAGGCAGATGCTGAGCGAGCTGAGCGTCTCAAAGCAGCACGTGAACGAGCTCAAAGAGACCGAGAGGCTCGTCTCAAGGCCGAAGCAGAGAAGGTCAAGGCTGAAGCAGAGAGAATCAAGGCCGAGAAGATCAAAGCTGAGAAGCTCCAAGCTGAGCAGATTAAAGCTGAGGCAGAGAGGATCAAAGCCGAAGCAGAGAGAATCAAAGCTGAAGAAGCTGCTGCCGCTGCCGCTGCCGCTGCCGCCACCGCTGCTGCCCCAGAGATCACATCGACCCGCAGATCTACTACCTATGGTGGTGTTGGTGGCGGTGAACGACTTGATCCCTATGCAGGCGTGCGAATGCCAGCTCCTTCTTCCGTCGCCTCTAGTCAATCGTCTCCTATCAAGGCTACCGTCACATCTAAGAAATCCTATGAGAAGCCCACTGCAAAGTCTTACCTCAGCAGCGAAGACGGCCAATCTTTTGTCCCGCCTCGGTCTACCGCTACTCGCTCACACGTTTCTTCCCAATACTCCGAGTCTTCCTACGCACCTTCAGAGTCAACTGCACGCACAACACCACCAGCTTCAAAAAGCGGGCCATACGCGACAGCCGATCCCCACAAGATTGTCATCAAGGCCGTCTATCTCTTCAACGACCTGTTTCCAAAGCCCGTTGCTCAACTCGTAGCCAATGTAGGAAAGGTAACCGACGGGCTCATTCTGAAGATTCAATCCGAGGGTCTTTTCATCGACGATGACGTGCGAGGCATTCCACAGCGTGAGTGGGATGTCAAGGCTTGGACGTTGAAAATGGTAGAGGTAAGTCGGCTTGTTTTTTCTTTAGGATGACTTGAGATGACGATGCTAACATGTATCTTTGTGTTAGACGGGCAAACAACCCACCAAGAACCTGCATATTCTTCGAGCCTCTGTCCGCGACGCCGACGGCAAAAAATATGTCTTCCTCATTGATGACAGCGAGAGCTGGAAACTGGCGCTTGGTCTCCAGCGTCTCCGCAAGGGCAGCCAAGTGCGTAGTCTGCAGAGTGCTCAGATGGCTCCCAATGAGATGGCACGTGTGCTCAACGCTGTGCCATTGATGGCCTTTTAATGAAGAAAAACCATGGTTATGGGTACATGTGCGAATGCCGCCAAGGGTTTTGTTGTTGACTTGTATTCTGGGAAGATGGTCAACCAAGGGTAAGGAAGGCACTCACTTGGATAAGGAAGAAGAGATGATTGCTATGATGATGAGGACGAAGAAGAAGACACAAGAAGGAAAAGAACGAGCATCCGAGCAGAGAACAAAAGTCAGCATTTGGTTTGTTGTGTTCTCTGATATCTGGGAGAATGTACCTTGGTACCAGACTGCCTTCTTTCCTTCCCTTTTTTCTAATCTGGTCTTTTATATATACCTCCCGCAGCGTCTTTAGCATGATGAGCATCAGCAACGGCGTTTTTTTTATTCTTTCATGTTTTTTTTGTACTACCTCGTTAACAGTTCAACATATTGATTTTGCTGTCGAGACATGCCTGGCCACTCATCTGTGTGTTGCTGGCTATTCGTGTGAGGAAATAAAGCTTCGTCATGTACATGTCTAACTATTTTCTTCTTTTAGTGAGAACTTGGACAAGTTCGGTGAGTCAGATCAAGTGGGTAATTGCGAGATTGAAAATTCAAGAACGATTTCATCACATCTGCATCACTTTGCCTACATGAAGGTGTCCCGGAAATTCGGATATCAGTTTTATTTGTATCTTGCCATTTTTGTTACCCGCCCGGCAAAGAAAGCCAGGATGGTATCATATCACTGCAGTACGACTACCATTTTAAGCCTCTCTACCAGTCCACTTCATGCTCTCGGATGTATCTGCTTAATATCTCAAGCGTACCACGGAGCATTTCCGAAATCGCTCTCCATGCCCTATGTGCATGCGTGTTTGCAGCTGTGCTTCAGTGCCTAAGCGATCATTAGCATCGCAGTTACCACAAGATTGCACACCTGTTCAGACTTACTTTGGCCCAGCACAGAGAAGCCCAGGTCTAGATCTTCGGCGTATCAATCGAAAGCTTGATAGCCTTGTAGACGACGACAGCCGAGCAGCCGTCGTTCAAGATGGGCTGGAGCACAGCACCAGACTTGCAGTCGGGTGCAGAGTAGACGTTGACTATTGATTTTTCCAGTCATGTTAGCCATTACTCTTTTCTTTCGTATCCCCGAGACTGTAAACCCAAGGCGTGTAAAAAGGACAATCAAGGGAGTGACTTACGAGCGTTGTAGCGAATCGACTCGTCGTGATGGACAACGCGGAGAGACTTGATGCCCGGTGCAAACTCGTAGCACGTGTCCGCGTCGACCGTCATGAAGGTGACGGGGCCATTGCAGTTGTCTTCGCCGAATACGTGCATGCGGACCTGCTTCGTACCAGCAGTAGTTGTTGGGAGGGCAACTGCAGCGCTGAGGCCGACGGCGAGACCGATGAGCGTCTTGGTGAACATGCTGTGTTGTTTCTTGGGATTTTCTTGGGATGCGTGTGTGTGTGGGAAGGTAAGAAGCAGAGACTGGAGTAGACGGCGGATCTAGTGTTTATAGGCTGTGGGTGAGAGGCACAAACAACTCGAGGTGAAGCTAAAAAGGCAGGCACGCCATAATGTTGAGGACTGGGTCCGGGCTCTGCAAACGGCAGCTGAGATAATGCAAAGATGAAAGTGAGTGAGATTGTGCCAAAGTGAAAGGAAAAGAATTCATTGTTTCGACTGGAATCACTGGGTAGGGATAGCCTCTCATTATTTTTGCCTGGATGGCTTCTTTCACGACACCACTTGCTAAACTATCAAGCGTCACAGATGCCAAGTAGGGCTGTAGAGTGGAGGATATGTCGTGGGGTTGCACAATAGATTATCCAAGTTCACGTGGTTGTGATTTTGGGCGAATTCTACATTCCAATTCACTAAGAATAAACTCAGGTAGAAGCTCACTCAGAGACTGGTTTTGCACCTGAGATTGGTTAGCCACAAATTCGGCGGGTGGAGTAATTTTCTTACCCAGCATCCATCCAATGCCCGAGGCAAGAGCCCCTGTCGCGGCATTGGTCACCATGTCCCTCCTCCGAACACGCTCTTGAGCGTCGATGCTACCAGTCTCACTTCCATCCAGACTGGCTCGACCCGAGCCAAGCTTTGGATTTGATGCAGCCTCTGCACTTCCACGCAGGGGAAAGGCCGTCTTGGAAAACGCAGCTGCAGCGCCACGTGCCACATCAAATAGACCCATAGGTGCTTCTTCAACTGCACCCCTACCGACTTCGCGACGAGGCTGCACAGTGGTTGTTTCCAGGTCAAACGTACCAGGCAGCTTTTGGTCTGCTGCGTCATTGAAGCGCTCCTCAGCTTCGTTCTCTTGAGCGAGAAGATGCATTGTTTCAGCTTCGCACTGCTGCCATACGCAAAGAACCTCTTCAAGATGTTTAGGTGGTGCTAACAGCAGCGCTTGTGAAAGCAACTCCATACGTTGCTCCAGTCTCCTTAGGTCAGGTCTCGCTGTTTTAGTGGCTTGCGACCAGCTGCTGGACAAAGATGACGAGTTGTAACGTCCAGCACGTAGAGCAGCCCGCCAGGCAACGTCCTCAGCTTCGTCTTCGTGGTTCTCGGCATCTTCTGACGTGGTTGATAAATAGTGAGATGGGGTTGGGGCAGTGCCCGAGGGCGTGGTCGGCGTCAGCCGGGTAATCACGTATGAATATGCAGTCTCGAAATCATCTTCCTCGAGAGCAGCCTCGATCGCCATTCCAATCACTCGTCGTTCGGCAGCCGCTTTCCTCGCTTCAATCTCTGCAGGGGTAAGCACAGTGTCCCATTCTTCTTCGACCATGATGGTAGATGGCATTGCGATGACTAGGTTTTGTCCAATCGACACTAGATCGTCCAGTTTCGTGTAACTACCACTATTTTGCGACAACAGCTTCCGGACCAAAGACAGAGGATTCGAGCCAACTCTAATGTTGACTGGTTGAAAGGGCACGCCATGCTGGAGTATAAGTGAGTAAAACGACATGGCGTGGGTTGCTGAAAGCAGAGCCTGGAAACGCCGAAAACGCGATGAAGAGGGAAAATGAGGGGCAAAGGCATTCAATATGTCTGCGGCACGCTTGACGCCGCCCCTATTGCGATTCCCGTTGCTTGCGTTGTCGTAGTGATGCATAGCTGAGGCGAGCACCACTTTCTCTATATCAGAGGAAAGTAGCGGTTGCTGGCCAAAGGACGGCTTGAGATAGATTTCTATGGCAAGAGGGAAGTGGTTGCTCTCAAGGAGCGCTTTCAATATTTCAGTCTCCATGGTCTTGCTATCTAGCATACCGAAGATGCCTTGGGCCTTACGATCTTCGTCGTGACGGTCAGTACCCCAGTTCCACAGCCACACCAGCTTCGATCGGATGATGCGCCACTGTTCGCTGTCGCTCTTGGAGTTGCTGTTGAGTGTATGAAGAATTTTCTGCAACATGGACATTTGCTCAGAGTAGTCGTCCCGCAGCGACATGTTTGCAATGTCTCGGATAGAGACCGGGTGGTGTAATGTGAAGAGGGTATATGAAGTGAATATGATAAGTTCCAGGATGCGAAACGCATCAGGGCCTGGCTGAGTAAGGGCATTGTCGGAGTGCAAAAGGCGCTCTTCCCTGAGCAGGGCAGTAGTTGAATCATGGAGCAGAGGGTTCTTGAGATTGTAACAAGGCAATTTGTCGACGCTTGTATTGAGGTCTTGGGGCGCATCGTAGTTGAGTAGTGTACATATCCGGTCCAACAGCGCGTGCGCAGTTTGTAGAGCGTTGATGTCACTTTGGTGAATCAGGTAGAGACATGCTAGCGCTGTGCGCGCATACTTGATCTCGAGCTGACGTTGCTGGTCATCGTCAACGTAATCACGCCCTTGCTCATAACCGCCCAAATCAATGTCCTCGGGGCCGTCCCACTCAGAAATAGCTGTTGTGATTAGGGCCAGATGATCTTTTGAGGTATGCAATAGCCATTGGAACAAACAATCCCAGTCGTCGGGTGTGTGTGGTCCCTCGTCGTCGGTTGACCCGCGCCGACGGCGGTCGTGGGCTCCACACAACCAAGGGGCAACGACACCCTTGAGATCGCGCGCAACATGGTGTGTGCTATCTTGGCTGGCATTGCATGCGTTCGAGAGTTGCAAGTCAACGGCACGACGCCCCTTGAGTGCGGCAAAGTCGTCGAGGGTGGGTGGAGGCAAGTGTGGATAGTACTCGTAGCTGAGGCGCAGGAGGGGCAGAGCAGTGGAGATGAACCAGGTACGCAGGTGCTCCGAGTGGTCGAGGAAGGGCACGACGAGGCGCGGGACGAGATCTAGCAGGCCGGTCTGGGCATCGATACGGTGGGAGCGGTGGATGAGGAAGTGGGTGAAGAGGTCCATGTCGCGGTCGGCCGCATACAGCGGATGGGCTACAGGTGGCAGCACCAGCGATTGCCTCCTCTTACGGGCGCGCGCGTCTGAGAGCTGCTCGACAGGCGCAGTGTCGACGGCGTCGGCCGGGCTGTCGCCAGGCTCGCGGGCGCCCGTGGCCAGGCCGGCGAGGAGGTGGTAGTAGGAGGCCGGGTCATGCTGCTCTGGCAGGTACGCGAGCAGGATACTGAGGCTCAACTCCAGTGGCAGGTCGCCGTCGCGCAGCGCCGTCAAGGCCTGCAGCGCAGGCGTGTTGGCGTGAGCGGCATAGTGCACGGCCAGGAGGATGCAGTGCGGGCCTGAGAGTTTCGACAGCTTGTGCAGCGCGGCCATGTCGAGGTTGAGGCAGTGGCTTTCTGATGCGCCGCCGTTCGCTACGTCAATCGCCCAGCCCCGCCACCCGCGCTAAGGCCCCTGGGCGAGGGCCCGCCTAGACAGCCGTTCCCACCACGCCCTTCACACCCACCACCCACGCACGACATGCTCCCCGGCCTGCTCTTCTTTTCCGCTTTCCCTCCATCTCCATCTGCACTCGCCCCCATCGCACTCCGTGAAACCAGACGGTCCACGGCATGCAAAAAGAACCCGTCGCCTCGACCACACGTCGTCGACGCGGGTCGTCTGCCACTTCGGGACTTGCTTCTATACCTCCTCTGCTTGCCAAGACTCACATCAAACATGCCGCGTTTCCACCACCGAAACAAAAGTGTAGCAGCCCATTGCACATGCCCGCCCGTGCAACGGCCTATGAACATTTTGGCACCTGTTGCCGAACTTGATATACCGTGAAGTCGCTGCCTGACTTTGTCTCCTTGGCTTCTGCATCTCTTCCGCTCTCCTTGCTCTGTCCATCCATCTCTAAACACCCACGACGTCGACTCAGGCACTCCTTCACCCACGCTCTTTAGCCCGTCCAACACAACGCTCCTGACTTCGCTTCTATCTTGGGGCATCTCCTGCTCCGTCTCTTCATCATGTACATCGACACTGCGGCTGCCAACAGTCGCTCAATGCGACCCCAAATCATAATATCCCCATCTCCATACAATGAACGCTCCACGCCGCTTTTGGAAAGCTTCATAGGCCAGGCTTCAGAAGCACCACCCACATATCTTGAAGCCACCACCCCTGGCCTGTACACGAGTCGCCAGAGCAGGGGCGAGGGCGCCAGGCTACTCTCCTTCGATGGCCAAGAAGCCAGGGATGCAACTTTCAAAGAAGACCAGTATGACGGCCGAACTCTGAGGCAGCGCTGCATGAGGAATACGTGGGTCAAGCTGCTTGCTGCAGTGCTTTGCTTCATGTTTCTTGTCGCCATGCTGGCTTTGATGGCGGCAGCTGTGTCGGTTCGAAGGGACAGGCCAGTACGTGACATTTGCTGGGCAAACAACAATGTGCTTGAACAACGCTAACCTTCACAAAGGGCGTAGTATCTGCTCCCGAAACTTCAGCCGAGGCTGCAGAAGCCGACTCGTTTGATCGGCCAGACCTCATTGCCATCCCATGGCCAGCGCAATCATCAACAGCCCAGCCCCCGGCATCAGGAGACTCTGCCCAAGTCTTTCCAATCCGATGGCCTTCAAAATGTGGCAAGGAGTACAGTGTCAGGACTGAGTGGTACGATTTTGGCAAACCTAGCGAGCTAAACATTCACGAGGCGATACATCAGTTGGACGGTTCCTATAAACGCGTGGCTGGCTGGATACACATTGCCCAAGCACCTGCAGAGCAAGCCCCTGGTACTGTTCAAGTCAAGATGTCATATGCAATCTCGTCAACAGTCGATGTCAACAGCGTCCCCTACACACAGACTGCATCAGGACTAACAATCGGCGACCCCTCTTTTCCCGACGGCTTCGACGGCGTACGGGCTGGTAAAGCTTGCCTTGGTATGTCGGTGGTTGTTTACGTAGCGCCTGGAGTCTCGATGAAGACACTCAAAGTCTCTTCCAACCACATGGGCATGCAGGTTCATAATGGTGCCAACTTTACCGTCACTGACTCGACATCAATCTCTCTCACCACCGGTACACTGGATGCTGGAGCGTTCTATTCGCGCCAAACTCACCTGCAAACCATTTCTGGCTCTATCAGTGGCATGTACGCCCTTTTCGATCTTCTTTCTGTCAAGACAAAGAGCGGCTCTGTCAACATCAACATTGAGCCTCAAGAAGCTGCCAACGGGCCATCCAACCCTGCAGTTTTCATGGTCGATACTCTATCCGGCAGCATACGTACCGATTTCAAACGAAAGCATATCCCCGAACGAGACTATCAGACCTTTATCAACACAACCGTCGGTTCAGTCGATGGTACCTTCATCCACGGCTCGCGAACTGAAATCAACTCAATCGCAGGTCTTGTAACAGCCGACATCTTGCCTTTCAAATCGGGGGATTATCAATCGGAGATATACACACAGACACACTCAGGTCAAACGTCGCTGACACTACGCACTCCATACAAGGCGAAAAAGACACCGATGACTGGTCTTGTCAGCACGCATCTGAGCACTTCTGGAGCCCTCGACATCACCTATCCGGAAGAGTGGACGGGTCATGTTGATGGAACTTCTCTTAACGGAGCGCTGCATCTGCAAGGCAAGGGGCTAGAACTGCTCAACGAAAACGATACGCCTGGCAAAAATCACGTCGAAGCGAAGAAGGGCGATGGCACTAGTACGTTGAGTTTCGACACTACTAGCGGAGAATGTGAAATCAAAATCGGAAAACTGTGAGAGACGGGCACGGTTTATGTGTGGAACGACAGTGAAATGTGTATCAAACTCGGAATGGGGCGGGAAAGTTCTTTTTTTAGTGCGGCAAGTCCTGGATGGTGGACTGGAGGCTTGGTCCCCAGTATCCACTACATGACCTGGACAAAAAGGCCGCTTAGTATGTATACCCTGTGAAACTAGTGTATTTCGTCCATAGATGCGACGTAGAACAATATCTGATAATGACCTCCTCTTTCTATCTTCGGTCCGACCAGACGATGCAATATGCAGACTCCCTGGATAATAACAAGGCTGTACTCTCGTCTTACCCACCATACACCCCACACTATCTGCTCGGACGAATTCAGACAGATTCCAGGTGACACATGCCAGAACAGCCATACCCATCAAACAGGCAATCTTGTTGTTCCATGGCTTTATTTTGAAAGGGACAGGGAGAGAAGAAAAACCACATAGATCAGACACTTCATGAATCGCACACATTCCATACAGCAAAAAAAGAGAGATCTGAATCTCTCCCCATACGTACCACGATTTACACACATATGCCGTGTCAAATCCCGCACCCATGCCTCTTTTATTTTTTTCCCCCTCCCTGTTTCTCCCCACCCCTTTTTTTTACCCCACTTCAAAGTACCAAGGCATGAAGTAGGGCTGAAAAAAAAGTCGAGCTTGTCGGAGGGGTACGTGCGTATATACATGCTTTGTTACCAATAGTCTTCTTGTAGTTCTACTGATAAGGTTGTTCTTTTTTTATTTCACTTGGCGATGCACAGGGAAGGGGAAGGGGGAGGGGTCTGTCTATCTTTTTTTTCCCTGCGTAGTGTTGTGTAGAGTAATAGTGTTTGTGCTATATGGAAGGGGGTTGAGGCTGGTCCGCGTATGTTTTGTTCATGATTGTTTTGTAGATGGTTTTGCATGCCCGGTTTTAGGGGGTGGAGGGGTTATGTAGCTTGAGGGTGATAGTGTAGGTGTGGCGGGAAATTTGGTTCGGGGTTGAACATGTTTTATTCACTGTGTTTTGTAGGTGGTTTTGTATGCCGCTTCTTAGGGTGGACAGGTGAAAAAAAAGGGGGGGGGATATGCTGGATAAGCACTATCATGTCTACGGGTGGATCGCGAGAGGAAGATCTTCATCGGTACGGGTGTCTGTGTTATTTTGATGCATCAGGGATGTGTTGATCGTATATTCGGTCCTCCAGAGTCTTTTGTTGAGCGCAGGGCTTGCCTGTGTAGATCAAAGAGAATGACGACTGTGTGTGTACACGTATAGAGATTACGACATGATCTACACCAGCAAGTCAACGATAGGCCTAACTGAAGCCAGAAATCGAGATGATTAGATCAATGCCATTCTTCCTGAAGTTTCAAATCAGAATCGGGGTTGATCGAGTACTCTTCGTAGACGGGTTTTGAATCCTCACAGCAGTGTCCAGCCTGGTCAAGAGTGGGGCAAAGCAAAACGACGGAGAATAATGCAACAGCAAACAATAGCCAGACACTTTTGCAAGACTATGCTTCGACTGGAAACAAGGTCGCACTAATCACACTGTTTTGGCAAAACCTCACGTGTGTTCAGGGCGGGCAAGTGTTGGGTGAAAGTGGGCAAGGCAGTGCATAGCGTTTAGGAAGTCGACATCCAAAATTAGGAGCTTTACGCAGGTAGCTTGGGCCAGGCATGGACATGCCTTGCTTGTCTAAGGCAGCATTAAGACTGATAGCATGCAGCACCTTGTAGCGCATCCTCCGGCTTGGCTTCTGCTGCACGAAATCTACTTAGTTCATGCTCTCTGGTATGTCTTTCGGCACGATGGTTAATTTAGACATCTTGGAGGCTCAAAACCCTGTTACAAGCCCAGGCTCGGCACTATTAGGCAAGTCAGATAGCTAGGTTCATGAGTACGTGGGGACAGGGCGCGATACACTCAGCCATGCGGCGTGGCGAAGCTACGGCTCCATTCGTGTACTGGCAACCCCCAGATGATACTAGAAGGGGATATACATGCAGGCTTCACGCCACGCTGCACCCCATACTGGCAATTCCAATTACACACATAGTTGATCGGCCGCTGTCACTTGTCAACATGACTCGATAGCAGGTGTGAGAGCCTGTCATGGCCCGCACCTCAGCAAGGCCACCAGGTAGACAGCTTGACTAGGTACATACACAGCACAACACATGTACATTCATAGTAGCTGTGCAGCACTACATCCTTCCACAGTACAGCCCACGCTCTTGCACAACAAACGGCGCCCGAGCTGGTGGAGCGAGATTAAGAGGCCACTAAGGATAGTACGGTTCGGCGAGGATGCGGTCCGTCTGAGGGGGCATAAACAGAAGGCGTCAAGGTTGCAGAGGAGGGATACTCGGCCACCGCGACCGCACAACGGGTCCGCCGCGCAATTGCTCTCGGCGAGTCATTACGAGAACATGTGAGGATTGTGGTGATGGTGCGGTACATGTTGCGGTCAGAGTGGGTCGCAAGTGCCCCTGGGCGTGTGTCAGGAGTGTTTCGCCCTCGTCGCGACACGGTAAAAGGCGTGGGGCTGAATGGATTCGGTCGCTGACCTCATCCGCCTCCCTCACCAAAAACTACGCGCCACAGGCGACCCAACCAACCTCATCCCCAATCAGCGGCCCATCCCCGTCGTCGGGATATCCCTCCGCCCAATTCAGCACAGTCTTCCTGATGCGATGAAACGGCCTGCCAGCCCACCCCAATCGTGTTGATACATGGGCAGGTTGCACATTTCCCAGGCATATTCTTCCTTCACCCCATCCATCCTCCTTCACTGGCTCTACACCATCTTCTGGCCAGCGCTGAAACCTGGCTTCGGATCGCGGAGAGAAAGCCATGGCTTGCCCGCCCAGCTCGACTGCTGTCTGCACCAACATGGCCCCTGTCGGTGTTAGAGTTGATGGCCAACGACTGCTGCCATCGCTCCATCCATGTCCACAGCCACCCACTTGTGCCATGGCGACTTGGGGCGCCTGCTGCCCTCCGCCGAGGAGATCTCTCCGAGTAAGCCGGGAGGAATGATGGAGACAATGACTGGTGCGACCGTTCCGAGTGCGTCTAATCGCCGTTTGGAATCCCAGCAGCCTTGCGCGCGGTCCACCGCCCACCACATCCATCCCCGCTAGACTCTCTTTTGGGTGAACGCTTCTGCTCTGTCCGTTCCAGATCACCTGCAGCCAAGGCGCGTCGCGACACTTCTTTCAAACTTGAATCGAAGCGGTTCCGTTGCGTCAATCGCACACATCGTCGCTCTTTGTTGTTCCTCTCGGATGTTGCGAACCCGTACGCATCATATAGCCTAACAGCCCCTCCAGCCGTCTTTCCTCCTATTTGGCCCTTCACTCTTTAGGACCCGACCCAACTATCTTTGTAAACATTTCTTTCTTTTGGAGCCGGCTCCATTCGCGCTGGTTGCGTTGTTGGGAACTTTTGTTCTCGTACACTCTTTTGAAGAAAACCCCACACTTACCACACTATCCAATCTTATTCACTTCCGCGCTTGCTCATCATATTAGCCCTCGACTATATCGCCTTAGACCTTCATTTGACTAGTCATCCCTACTTTCGCTACCAATGTAAGTGGCCCGCGTCCTCCGCTCGCTCCCCCCCGGATTCCTTGACAGACACCCATCTTGAACCTCTTGTCGACGCCACACTCCTCGTCATAGTCACAATCTCTTTGACTATCTGCTTACCGTCTGGCCCAAGTAGAATATCCTCAGACTCCATCAAGACTGTTGTATATAGCAGATTGGCTACTAGAAGATGAACTATCACACCGTCCAACAGTAAGCCTTACCCAACACTACTCAACCAGCGATGCACATCTAAGCAAAATAACCTGTTTTATAGATACAGGCCATCGCCTAATAGACAACACACGATGGGCCACCCCTCTCCCACGCCCGGAACTCAGATGATGTACCCTTACGGGGGCCTTGCCCCACAAGGACAGCAACAGCAACATCCACAGAACCTACTGCAAATGTCCAGACCATCGCCACCACAACCGTCATGGGCGATACCGCAGCCTCACCCTCCGTACTATGGTGCGCCAAGAGGTCCTGTCGTGGGTGGTAGACAAGATTCGGGGCACTCACTGGCGCGAACAGATGTGAATGTAACCCAGCCAGCTGTCACAAGCAGCGACTTCTACAGCAACAGCATGGCGCCCCCTACATCGCTGGCACCTACTGATTTCTTTCCGGGTGTCATCGATACAAGTAAGGTCCATGACCGAGCAGTTATAGATGCCGTACTAACAACCGCAGGTCCATGGGGTCAGAAGGTTTGCGAAGAGTTGGAATCATTTCCTTCCCTGGATCCAGATGTCACCGACTTCAGCAACGGTATCATGGGACACGACGAGAATACACCCATCATCGACCTGCGCCAATACAATGGCATGCCACAACAGGAGCATGACAGCATGGCAAATTTGAACCCGAACACTACCCGACGCCTATCAGAGTCTTCTTTCTCAATGTCGAGCACAGGTGGTGTGCTTCCAGAGCCAGTAGCTTACGAGGACTTGGGTACTTCGGAGCCAGTGTCATATCCCGCCGAGTATGACACATGGAGCCGCCCAGAACCAAGTCAGAGCCATCTCCTATCCCCGCTTGCGTCACCATGTCGTCCTCAGTACGACGGTGTGGTGAGAAGCGGGAGTCGCTCGCGCGCCTCGCCAGCACCGCACAATAATGTGCGGTCGTCGCCATATACACTCGACAGTGGCCGTTTCAAAAGATGGTCTACCGGACACGCGCCAACGTCAACCCCCACCAATGCCCGAACAGTATCCCAAGTACCGAACCACTTTACGCCATACGGCCCAAGGATGAATCCCCACCATTCCATGCCAACCTACCCTTCAGGTGCATACAACAACTACGGGATGGCTGCCCAGAACGTCTTGTATTCGCAGACAAACCCTCAGCATACCAACACCCCACCATACTTTGCAGCACAAGATCAATCGCCCTACCATCTTGAAGTGCCTCGACCACTGCCTTCTCAGGGCCTCTTCCGTCTGCTTCAGAGTAATGCAGACCGCCATGGTGGCTGTTCATCCCACTTTGCTGACCTTTCGGATCCCCCAGACCTATACTCATCACTACACGAAGAAGCCTCGAACCCGCCTGAGTCTGACATGAACCCATCGGACCCAGACCTTATCCCGCACGAGCAAGATCTTCGATTCGTGGGTGACTTGTACACTCCACGATGGGTACGCGGACATGGAAACAAGCGTGAAGGTTGGTGCGGGCTCTGCAAACCAGGACGATGGCTAGTTCTGAAGAACAGTGCATTCTGGTATGACAAATCGTTTACGCATGGTGTTAGTGCAGCTACCGGCGCAGCATTCCAAGGTCCACAGGAGACTCGCAGGACAGAAGGTAATCTGGATGTCTGGGAAGGACTTTGCGGAAGCTGCGGAGAATGGATAGCGCTGGTAAGCAACAAGAAAAAGGGAACGACATGGTTCCGCCATGCGTACAAGGTAAGTCTTCTGCGAATTGGATTCGCTCGACCAGACTGGTCACCTTGACAAATATTCAACTGTACTTACCTGAAACGCAGTGCCACACACACCCAAAAGTCAAAGACGGCCCAAAAAGGCGTCGGGAGACACAAGCTGGGCGAGTTCGCGCAGCGTCATCTGCCTCGTCGACCTCGTCTCCGTACCCGTTCAAGCATGACACATTGCAAGCAGACCCGACTTCTCATCGACATTCCACACCCACTCCGATCCCAGGGAGCGCATCACTACAATCATATGGCAGGCCTTTGCCAACGTCTACGCCGACATCGACCCCTCGACCTAGCAGTTCGTGCCATCCAGGCAGTGCTGCGTATCCCACGCCTTCTTCAGCAACACCAACGATGCAGTCACTCCGAACGCCCACGATCGCATCGGCCAACCTGAGTCACATGGATCAAACCACTAGGCAAGAGTCTGTTGTTGGCATGTTCACAACGCCATTACAAAGTCTACCAAACTTCCCCAACCATCAGTACACGCCAGACTTAGCACACCAAGTAAGCGAACCAGAGCTCGTTGGTATACGAACGACCACAGTCGCATTGAACTCGATAGCGAGTATGATATGAGGTTGCCATGGTGGAACTGAAGGGTGACAGTGCGCCATCTTCACTGATTTGTGTTTGTTGTTTCCATGTTTGTTGAGCAAAATCATTTCACTCGTACCACTCCCAGCAGCCCTAACTCTCAATGGCAAAGGCGTTCTTTGTAATTCCCGAGCATCAAGCGTATGGTTTTCAAGCAAAGTCGGTTTTATTCTTCTTCTCTGAAGCGTTCTTGTTTATACAGCGTTACTTTAGGTTTTGGTCACGCCGAGTTGGCGCCAGCGAGCGGTAGTCACGAGGTCATGACTTTTTTCCCCCAGCATCTAGTTAGATTAGTTTTGGCTTTGTCGTTATCTCGAGAATCCTTGCCACTCTTCATAGCACTTGAGTAAATTCCCCCTCGCAGTTCATGTTATAGACTTGCTTTCAGCGATTCAATATTTCCAAGGATAATTCAAATGCCACAATCCCCTTTCTCTCTCTCTCTCTCTCTCGTTCTTTCTTTTTGTTTTGTTTACAGGCTCCGTTCAAACAGCAAAAGTGGTCAAGGTATAGCAACTACGCCTGGTTCGGCAATCAATGCGAATGGTAGCTCCCAATATATTTTACCCCCACTTCTAGCCCTACGACTTCAGCCACCGGAAAGAAGCACTCCCAGTCCCTAGAAGTAAGATAGCCTCGGCATGCCAAACATCCTCGCTGGCGTCACACAGCCTCATGTTTCGGATAGCAGGATCTGACACCACACACGGAAAAACTCACTGAAACGCAAGGTGCACGAGCACGAAATGTACCGGTCATCAAGATACGTACCCAGAAAGCGGAGTTAGGGGTAGCACGGTGACGTGGGGCTGGGCTGGTAGAAGGGATTGCGTACATTGAAAATGTATCTTGCCATTGGGCATGGTTTATTTTTGTGGATTTTTTCGTTCGGGTCGATGGTTGGTTGGTGGAGGTTTTAAGGGTTGAGAATCTTGATACACCCTTGCTTATAGAGACACACCCGGACAATTAGATCTTGCTTGATCTTGATGTGATCTTGATTGTGGTGTGAGACGCCTTGATTATTCGTCCTGCCGTTGGAGTGGTCTGACATCCTCGACGATTATCAGACCTCAGAGCCTCCGCAACAGTGCCAGATCCGGGGTTTGCAGGCTTCAAGGCAGACGAGATAGATTCGTAACCATTGCGGTGCATGATTCGAGTTTTGTTTTGTTCAGTTCGAAAGAGGCATTTGGTCTCGAGATACTGAATTTATGTTGCACATGCACAACCCAGCTTGCCAAGATTCTTCAAGCGATGATATGCTTCTGTAACCATGGAATTTGCTGACTCTGGCGCAAGCCCTAGCATGTCATTGGCGTTGTACGTCCCAAATGGCGCCGATGAATTCAGCTGGTCATCGTAGAGTATGTTCCGCTCGGGCAAAGCAAGTCCCGAATCAGGATAGCCTCTCTCGATCCACTTCGGCCCTTCTTCAACGCATTCTTCTACGCCATAACTCCCAACAGCAAACTCTTGACCAGTCATCTCCTCGACAGACTTGAGGGCTTGGTTGGCTGATATGGTAGCACCAGCAGCATAGATGTACTGGTTTTTGGTCTTTTCCCAATGGGCAAGCAGTCGAGCTACAACCTGACCTACTCTTGCTAGGCTAGACGCCGCAAACAACCCCATACCTGTGCCATGAAAAGTAGCACTTTGCCATTCCATGTTAACGCCCATGTTATCATTGACGATTTTGGTGTCCAGCGTATATCCTGTAGCAACTGCCATCCACCCGAAATTCGGACTAGCATCTGACAGGTTCTTGAGATGATTAATGGCTTTTGCTCGTTCTGCATGCTTGGGTAGGCGGGCCTGTAGCTGCTTGTTCAGACTATCATGACTGGACTCATTAGGGACAAATCGCTTGACCCTCGCGGCTATCACAGCGTTGATTATGCTAATCTGTAGGTCCGAATCTCCGCCTGCAATTGTGTTTAGGATGATATCACAGCCAGCAAATGCTGACTGCAATGCTGCTGGATTAAAATCAGAGGTTTTGTGTTGCACTGGCAACTTATGGGGATTTGGCGGAAGAGCGAGTGGTTGAGAGGGATACGTTAGTAATCTTGTAGTTGCAGTCATCAGATGATGATGATGATGTCTGTTGTGAGCATAGTAGAGCGGAGATGATGGAATGGCAAAGATGTCCGTTGTACAGGCAAGTCAGCGGGCCATGACAAACCATCAGGCGCACCATCTACCTTACGCCAAGTATCAAGATGTTTTCGATGGCCATCTTGGTGTGAAGAGTAAAGAAGAGGAAGGTCAGGTCCGGGGATGGAAAGTGGTGATGCCAAGCGCGGTGCACGGACGCGGTATGTTCCGAGCGGCAGCTGTGCGAGCTTTTGCGGACCGGCAGTAGCAACACCACCACCACGAAACCTCCCGCGACCGCAACGCCATCATCGCTCATCTCCCGGGGCTCGCAAGACCTGATCCAGTGCGTCAATTGCCCCTTTCGAAAGCTCCAACACCGCCATTGGACCCCCGCAGCAGCGCGCTGACCCGCAACAGCCCAGATAGCCCATCATGAACGCCCGTTTCCTCCGTCCCTTTGCCAGGGCTGCCTTCCGCGCCCCCACGGCTGTCCGCCCCGCCGCCATGGCACGCCCTGCTCTCGTCGCCAGCCAGACCAAGAAGACCGAGGTCAGCCCACAGCAGATGGTGAGGATGGCCCCTAGTTGATTGCGCGGGGAGTGTTGGGAAACTGACCATTGAACAATAGACGGTCCTCAAGTCTGCCATGCCCCAGCTCATCCCCTTCTTCTTCGTCAACGAGACCACCGTGGCCTTTATCCTCCTGCCATCGCTCATCTACGTCTTCTCCAAGTACATCTTGCCCCAGCGTGTGCGCCTGTTCGCTGCCCGCCTCTTCATCAGCAAGTTGTGAGCGAGGAGTGTCGAGTTGAAGCAAAGAGCACATACACAGGGCGATAGAAAGCCAAGGATGCCCATGTACCAGTAGTGGGAATATGCTCGTAGACAAATCAATGGCATTGCACGAAGAGTGTCCGCATTTTTATCTGGCGCACTTGCTGACCGATCATGTTGTTTTTTGACAGAGTAAAATGATAAAAATGAGTGTCGCTTGCCGCATGTGAGCAAATAAGGTGATCAAGGGTAATATCTAAATGTATAACAGTCAAAGGACGAGACGAGGAAATAGGGTGACTTATTAATTCACTAGCAATGTCCATCGTGCATGGGGTTTAGGGCGTGCTGGATGAGATGACAGTCTCATAAGAGTGGAGGTCACATGTTGCACGCTGCAAATTGTTTGAGTTGAGCGTAGAGTAGTACGATGCAGGTACAATGTTGGCATGGAGAAGATATGTATTTATCGATAACAGTGGGGCGCCTTCCCTTCTTGGGCGTTGTTCTCAGTACATCCACCACACCTTCGCTCCAATCCAAACGGCTGAGACGGTGTTGATAGATGGTGAACCGCCAAACGAGCGATAGCGGTACACGTGCAGGGGTCCATCATTATCACCGACATCTGACTGGATGCTGTCGGCAGATATCCGAGTGTTTCCGTTGGACGAGAGGGCGGCTGAATGAATGGCACTCCACCCAATCGACAACGTCATGCCAGTGACCAGGGCCCAGCGCCGGCAATAAAACCGGCCTTGACTGTCTAAAAGTGCCGTCTTACGGCCTTGCGCCGCAAGCGCAGCATGGCTCGACTCTCTGCCTACCTTCTTGTTCAAGGTTGTATGGACGTTCACCGATGCTGTGGGCCCTGTGATGTGTCCGCGTGGTTCTCATCTTGGCAGCCGACAGAATGCCCGACGACGAGGCATACGAGCTCACCGAGGCTCCTGCTTCACGAGCGACAGCCAGCGCAATGTCGACGGATGAGCCACAAGACGACCAGCCCGCGATAGAGTCGCGTCTACACAAGAGAACTCTTCTCAAGCTTGACTTTCTCCTGCTTCCCTTTCTAGCCCTCTTCTTCCTCTTCAACGCGCTCGACAAGACGAATGTATGCTTCCATGAGTGTACACAACCACCACAAACACCACTTACTGATATCCAACTAGATTGGAAACGCAGAGTCTGCCCACTTTACCGAAGATGTTGGACTGAACAAGGACGCGCTGAACACGGCCGTCGCTCTCTTCTTTGCCTTCTTCGTCAGTCTACAGCCGCTTGGCGCTGCCCTGGGAAGGAGATTTGGCATGGTACTTTGGGTACCGTCATGCATGCTTGCATGGGGTATTTCCACTGCCCTGCATGCATGGATACGACATAAGTGGCAGCTGTACGCTTTGCGCATACTCATTGGTGCCCTCGAAGGTACCTGGGCTCATTCCACCCCGTGCGCCCCGCAAACAACAGGAGCTGACATTATGCTTAGCCGGCTTCTATCCCGTTACCGTTACATACCTGTCCCTCTTCTACACGCGCTTCGAGTTTGGGAGACGCTTGTCGTTTTTCTACGGCCAGGCAGCCGTGGGCGGTGCTCTGGGAGGGCTGCTAAGCTACCTGGTATTCTCGCAGTTTGGAGCCGATCGCCAGGATGCAAAGACGGGATATAAGCCATGGCAGGTACTTTTTCTCCTGGAAGGATGCCTCACCGTAGTTGTCGCTATTGCTGGATACTTCTGGTTACCACATAGCGCAGACACGGCCTGGTTCCTTGCACCCGAGGAGCGCAAGTACGCCTGCACACGCGTTATCCAGGACAGAGATATACAAAATTCGTCAGATGAAACACGCAAAGACGATTTGGATGCGGAGGAAGGGCACGAAGACGACGAATCTCGTGATCTTTTGCAACCCACGAAGCGCTCGGCTGCGGCAAATGCGCAGGCACAACAGCTCATCGATGACCGTGGGCTCACGCCCCAGGATGTAGTATCTGCAATCTTCAACACCAAGATCTGGCATATCTTGGTATGCAACATTCTTGCTGCCGTTCCGGTCTATGCCTTTTCTATCTTCCTTCCACTGGTCCTCGCTCCGTTGACAGAGAACAAGGATCCCGCCTTGGTCAATCTGCTTACTGTACCACCCCATTTCTGCGGCGCTATCACACTCTACTTGTTTGCTACATACAGCGATAAGCAGCGCATACGGCTCAAACCGGTCCTTGCTGGCTTGTTCATCATGGCTTTGGGATTGGTCTTGGTCGTATTGTTCCCGATTTCATGGGTAATACCTCGCTATGTAGCCCTCGTCATTCTCCTCTCAGGTACTTACGTAGCATCTCCGCTCACGGTTGCCTGGATATCCGGTAATACACCTTCGCCAGGCAAACGCGCAATGCTTCTCGGCATCAATGGCTGGGGGAATATGGCCGGTGTCATCTCAGCTCTTCTATTCAAGCCAGAGTATGCTGATGACGGTTACATTGTACCTCTTTGGTGGACGCTATTTTGCGTAGCACTCTCAGCTACGGGTTATGTCTTGTTGTACATAAGACTCAAAAGGGAGAACAAGGCACGCAGCATGATCCTGCGCGAGTGGACCGAAGATGAGATTGAATTGGAGAGGCTTGAAGGCAGAGGACCGTCACCACAACAGGGTCAGTGGCTTCAAAGAGCCGCTGCTGTAACCAAATCAATCAGACTGCTAAACTGGCTTACAGGTTGGCTCGAGCGAGCTGCAAGGCCTACTCGAGAAGGCGACGATAGAATTACGTTTGTATACGGCTTGTGAGATGTGCGAGAGAATATCCACGTAGGCATGAATTTGATTTGGTTTCTAAACCCATGTCCCAATTATCCGAGTCTTGTCATTTGTCTACTTTTTCATTATCTTTCTACAACCTGTTTGCTCCGCTCTTGATGGCCATGCTCCCAAATTTCACGACCTCTCTCTTGCTCGCTGCCGCAAGCACAGTACATGCAGCGCCCACGCCTACCAACAACGTTCTCGCCATATTGAGCGTGGCCCACCGATCCATCAGCTCATGCACCGTCTCGCCCTGGGCAGCATTTGCCTCGACAGCTTTGTCTTCCAGTGAGGCAGATTCAAGCTCATCTCTCTTAGCCATGAGCTTTGCATTTGTGGGCGCAATTACGAGCAGTGTAAAAGGTACAATACTGGGGAGAAGAATAGTAGAAGCAAGGTTCAGACGGAAAGCGGTCGAACTGGGGTCTTCTGTTGGATTGTGTCAGTCCATCTAGGTCCTACAGGTAGAATCTCCAAGCAACGCACGGTTGTAAGCAACATAACCCGTTGCCAGAGCCGAAAGGATAGCAAGTGGGCGGGCAATTGCTCCGCCTCGGGTAAAGATTGAGTACCATTGCTTGACGGCAAGGGGAGCAGGCGCTTCCATGGCCGTGTGTATACCGACAAGGGAGAGACATGTGTTACTTCCTGTACTTTGGTTCAGTCTCATTATTTCCAAGGTTTATCATGCCCGCATGGGATATATCCAGGGGAGGGGCAGTTTACCGAATAAGAACATGCTCGCTGTAATGCCTACAGTCTGAGCAACCACCATGCCTGCAGGCATTTTTTGTGTGAGTATATTATCCATATTGTGAAGTGCCTGTGCAGAAGAATGGAATTGATTTTTTTTCTCTCGAAGAATATTGGCCTCATTTGTAGCTCCTTGTGTTCTTCTTATCATAATAGTGGAGTTTGGTAGGCCTGACGCGCAACGTCAGTGCACCCATGCACCATTTTCCCGCGGGCTCCGATCGCGTTCAGCGCAATCCGCCGCTCCGAGCAGCCACACTCCATGTGGCAGGCTGGTGTTGAAAAGCTTACAGAGCTTGCAAAGCTTAGCAGACTCTGAAATCTCACGGCCCTCCGCAGTGGCCGCTAAGTGTCCATGTATACGAGTCGTGTTTCGAGTGCATACTGATGTCATCTTGGAGTGTTGCAGTATTGCCGTCGGGACATGTCGAGACAGGTTGCTTGTTGCCCATGAAACCATTGAAGCATCAACACGGTCCTACCTCACTGTGTCTAATCAGTGTCGGATTTGCCTCCGTGTATTTATTTTTACCAGATCATAAGCACTTCTCGACAAATAAGACCATCAACTAGCCTGGTGCACAGCTGAGCTAGTCTTCGAGGCATACGTAGAACAGCCACAATACATACTTACACCCGCCTACCAAATTACTCTCAACAAGCACATATCGCACATCTAAGCCATCCCTTAAAAAAAAACTCTGCCATGTTTTGTAAGTTGTCTGCTCACAACGCTTTGTGATTGTGCTTACGAGTTCAGCTCTAAATACTACGGCGACGCTTCGCAACGTGACACATCTCCCGCGCTCAATAAGCTATGCACAAGCCGTGGAACAGCTTCACAACCACGAACTGCTCATTCGCCTCGACCCCGAATATGCCTCGCACGAGACCCTGCCGTCAGACCCGGCTACACCGGAGGCTAAGATATATAAGATCACGGACCATATGAACGCGCTTCCAGCTGGATTGTGGGACACAAAAGTGACATTTGAAGCACATATGACAGATCTGGACGATGGAATACTATGGCTCATCAAGGCACCATTGGGACTGACGCAGAAGACTACCTGGAGGTGCTTGAGGACAGAGAGTTTAGGCGAAGTAGACAAAGGAACCAATGAAGAAGAGGAGGGGGAGTGGAGTTTAGTCGAGGATGTGGAGATCAAGGCGAACCGAATGCTTGTGAATACAGTCAAGGGAAAATGCGAGGATAATTGGCGAGGAACACACGGCAGGTTTTTGGCGCAGTTGAAGGAGAAGGTCGGTGCAGCGTAGGGTTTAGTTGGTTTTACCAGTGTGTGTGTGTCCTGCAGTAAGTTGATCTGCATGCCGGTATCTTGTAAGAAACAAGCCGTTGCAACCTACTACGTACCAAGACTTGCACTGTGCGGATAGCCAGAAACGACACGCCTCTATTTGTCCAGACGCATAAAACCACGCAATGTGCGGCTGCAGAGACACAATCTACTCTACCTTGGCCTGGTTGCCAAGAGAAGGAGAGACCCTGCATAACGCTACCATCCGCAGGGCCGAGGGGGGATTGGATGTTGGGCAGATGGGAACTGCGGCCTCGGATCAAATTGGAATAGAGACAGTGGTGTCCCAGGATATTGCACAGCCATGGGAGTCATCAAGGCCATGTTATGCTCACGCGACGGTGGGTTGGGGGGTCAAGCGACCAAATGCCCCCCATCGGAGGTGCACTGGTGGCATGTGGGCTGTGCACGTGGACTGGGCCAATCGGGCTTGGGGCGGCTCGCAGGTCGGTGGACGTGCACCTGCGATAAGCCGGATAAGACACGCCCGCCATACACGGGCCAGCTTCCCCCGCCTTTCTAGACGGTGGCGGGACCCTTCCAGTCCCCCCTAGTCAGCATTCCGCCATCCACGCCCATCAAAAACAGCCCAGCCTGCCCAACCACCGGGCCGGCTTCAGCTCGCTCCTATTTTTTCCCTTTTCTTCAAGCCTCTGCCTCGCTGGCCAGCGTGTATCCCTTGTTGACGCGCCCGCCATGGAACCAGTCTCCATCGATGCCGTCGTCGTCGACCACAACGACATACAGACAATACCCAGCATTCCTCCCACGGAACCCATGGCCATGGAGCAGCCCAAGCCGAAAGGGAGGCAGCGCCTGCTCAATGGACTTCATCGCATGGGCTCCTCTCCAAGCCTCGCCGGCTTTGGTAGGGCCCGCTCACAAAGCCTGAGAAGCGGAGGCAAGGCTTCAATGTCCTGTGTCTCCCTGGCCTCGCCAGGCTCGCCCTATGGTACTTCATTTGGCAGCTCGTACTCGTCCGAGCTATCCAACGGCTTTTCAACCGCTCCTACTTCGGTCGCCAACAGCCCTCCTGGCACGCCATTCTGGGACGAGAGAACCCGTCTACGCATGAAGACGCCCGAGACGCCGTCGTCGGTCCCTCTGCCTTCCTCCCGCCGGCCCTTTACCAGAGACGGGCTCGAGGCTGAGAGCGATTATTTTTCGCGCCCCGTCCGCAAGGTACAAAAACGCGCCAACTTCAACTTTTGGCAGCAAATGCCCGCCGAGATCCGTATACAGATTCTTCGATACCTCGAGCCAAAGGAGGTTGTGCGCTGTTCGCGTGTCTGTAAATCATGGTATGCCATGTGCTTTGACGGCCAGCTCTGGAGCGACCTTGATACCACCAAGTTTTACCGCGACATTTCAGCCAATGCTCTGGTCAATATCATCACATCGGCCGGCCCTTTTGTCAAGGACTTGAATCTGCGAGGCTGTGTCCAGCTGAGGGAACACTGGGGCAAAGACGGCTTCATCGAGTCTTGCCAGAACTTGGAGAACTTTTCACTCCAAGGTTGTCGAATTGACCGCGCGTCGATTCATTGTTTCTTACTTCAAAACAGCCGCCTCGTACACGTCAACCTATCTGGTCTGGCAGGCGCGACGAATGCAGCCATGAAGATTCTCGGTGGGCACTGTCCCAGGGTCGAGGTTCTCAACATCTCATGGTGCAACAACATTGATAACCGAGGCCTCAAGAAGGTAGTCGAAGGATGCCCGAAACTACGGGATATTAGGGCTGGTGAGGTAAGAGGTTGGGACGATGTCGATCTCATGGCCGAGCTGTTCAAACGGAACACGCTGGAAAGGCTTGACTTGAAGAACTGTGATAGCCTTAGTGACGAATCACTGGCTGCTTTGATTGAAGGTGTGGATCAAGAGATTGACATTCTCACCGATCGGCCAATTGTCCCGCCTAGGAGATTTAAGCACTTGAACCTTACCCGCTGTCGCAGCATCACCGACACAGGCCTAAAGACCTTGGTCAACAATGTCCCATTCCTAGAGGGTCTTCAAGTCTCCAAGTGTGGAGGATTGACCGACGATGGCTTGCAAAGCTTACTGCCCACCCTCCCGGTTCTCACCCACCTGGATATCGAGGAGATTGACGCGCTGACGAACGAAGTCCTGAAAACTCTTGCTGAGTCGCCATGTGCACCGCACTTGAAGCATCTGTGCATTTCATATTGCGAGAACCTAGGTGATTCCGGTATGCTCCCTGTTCTCAAGGCGTGCCCTCGACTCGCTTCACTGGAGATGGACAATACACGCATTTCTGATCTTGTCCTGGCCGAAGCTGCCTCTGGATTGCATAATCGTAACAAGAGCGGCCGTGGCCTTGCACATTCAGAGCGCCCCGAAGTGGGTCTCCGCATCGAGGCCTACGATTGTTCCAACGTGACCTGGACCGGTGTTCGCGAAGTCCTTTCCCGAAACGCAGAAATCACCCGTCCTTCCTCCCGATCGGCTTCCAAAACTCCGACGTATCCACGTGAGATTATCAAGCTCAAGTGCTTTCACAACTGGCAACCGACGGTTGAAGAACACACCAAGCGCGTCTTGCGAGGCGACTTTACCGCTGCTGCACGTCTGGAACGTAAGTGGGCCGATTGGATGATGATGAATGAAGAAGCTGGTGTTGGTGGTGCGGGAGCGAGGCGGCGGAGGAGGCGCGCGCGAGAAGCGCAAATGATGCATGCTGATGAAGAAGAAGGTGGCGCAGGTGCGACAGGCATCGGTCGTCGCCGGCGTGCACGAAGTGGCCCTGGTGGTTGCACTGTGATGTGAATGATGTGTTTGAAGTTCACTGTTTGGGGGAAGCAATTTTTTTTTGGTCTGAGACTACAACCGATCGGACTCGGTTGTTAGATCGATCAAGGACATGTTGCAACCTTTACACAAATGACTGTAGGTTTTTTTGCACAAGGAGTCTGGGGATTTTTCCATTCCTATTAACTATATGCATTGCTTGGAGTTTAGATGATTTAGATTTGTGGCGCAAGCAACGAAGATGTCTGCGAGCTTGAGCCGCTACTGGATTGATTGCACGGGTGCAACGTTCAATTTCAACAATAGACTACAGGTTTGGATTATTATTTTGGAGCTGTCTAGCCTGATTATACCATGATTTGGAGACCAACCCTGTCCTGTAAATCACGTGAGGTACTAGTGAAGTTACGGTAGTGGTGCGATACATTCCGACTACGTACCTCGTCTACGCGTCCTCGACTTTAGTCAACCAGCAACCGCGGAATCCTATACCAAGATTTCCGCTCCACTAACTGTTCAAGGCTAGCTCACCCAAAATGACAGGCTCGGAGTATTCCAATGCAAAGCTAGGCCTCGATGCATTCCGCATCGCTGGTCTCCCGCCGGACTTTTATTATATTCCCAACTTCATTAGTGTTGAAGAGGAAACGTCGATTCTACAAAAGGTCAGTTCCGGTCAGTTCCAAGCCATTTTCTGTAAGCGGGGGAGAGAATCCAGTGGTGACATCAATTGGCATTATCATTACCCCGCAAACATACGTACCCACCCCCCCCCCAAAAGTCCACTTTTCTTGTGCATGCTCATCACCCGATATCCTCAACAAAATCTGTAAGTACTGACTCGTGTTCAGATCCCAGCTCAGCGATGGACGTACCTGTCTCACCGTCGCCTCCAAGCGATTCCGTCTACACTAACTAAAAACAACACGCTGCTGGCCTCTCCGTTGCCCGTCTACCTGACAACACCTATTATAGACCGGTTCAAGGATTTGAGTATCTTCGATCACACGCCGCACCAACAGCCAAACCATGTTCTGGTCAACGAGTACAAGCCCGGCCAAGGCATCATGCCCCATGAAGACGGCGACGCGTACGCACCTGTAGTTGCAACAGTCAGTCTCGGCGCGCCTTTGTGTCTGGACATACTAGCCAAGCCCTCGTCGGCCTCGGCAGACGACGACGACGTAAACACCAGTAATGATGCCCAGCAAAGTCATGACGAAGCCAAGAAGGCCCCCGCTCCCACTCCGAGCGTTACCGCGCTTCCGACCCGCATCTTCCAGGAACCGCGATCACTGCTCGTCACGACGGGCTCTGCATACCGGCATGTCATGCATGGGATTGCGGAGCGCGAAACAGACGAGGGCCTGGATGGGGCGAGCGTGGCGAATTGGGATTTGCTGGGTGACAAGGCGGTGCTCGAGGACATGGGAGGCACGAGTAGCAGGGGTGTGAGGGTTAGCTTGACGTACAGGGATGTGCTCAAGGTTAGTGCGGCTGCGAGCAAGGTGCTTGGTGGTTTGGGGGGAATTCGGCGGGGTGTGTGAATGACTGAATGATTGAATGGGGGCGAGCATGATGGTGTGAGGATCGTGCGTTAAGAGGTTCTATGGGGAAGATAGATCGTGTGGTTTGGGCTGATTCGGGCACGGAGATGAAGTTATGATGTTTTTTGCGTTTGTGAAAAAAAAAGGGGGGTGGGGGACGTTGGCGACTCAAAAACTGAGGACGAGTTGTTGCGGTGTTTTTTTTTTGATCTAGATGTCATCAGGCATATCACTGGTAGAGATGTGTACATAATGCATGGGGAAGTTGTGATATCATCTATGTCTGGGCGACAAACATGTTTCGAGCAGGAATGACTGTGTGCAAACAAATTTTGTTGGAGATGGTTATTTGAAATGTTGGGAAGAAGAAGTGACAAAGGGTAGTGGATAGTTGGAGGGTGAAAGAAAAAAAAGTATCAAATGTCTCGAGCTAGTACCAGTAAGTAGTTATTAGGTTCCTTGGCATCACGGAGGTAGAGAAACGTTGGAAAATGTCAAGACTGTGAAGATTGTCAAGATGAATCTTGTATTATAAGCACTCTATAGCTTGTATCATTTACGCCAGGTGTTCCTCGCATATCGTATCAAATTCTCAACGCATACTGTATTAGACAGTGACTAGTCGTCCATCTCTTACTGTTGCTGCTTGTTGCCATAATGACCATTGACATCAACAGCAGTGCCATCGGAGTTGGCCCTCTCGTCGGCGAGCTTGGATGCAGACGCGGTAAGCGAGCTGGTCCTCTTCTTCTCACCAATGATAATGGCACCAACCCATGCCAACCAGACGAGACCGGCAACAACACCGTAGACGATTTGACCAGCGCGCGAGCTCCTGTTGGCGCATTGGGCCAGTTTGAGTCCAAAGCCACCGTTGAGAATACCAAGAGTGATGAAGATACGACCGATCCAGATGTGAGCGTGCGACCAGATGGTGCGGCTCTGGACCTTCTTGAAGAAAAGGTGGTGCATGTATCCGAGAATGGGCATGAAGAAGACAACAGCAAGGAGGATCATACCGATGATGGCGTGGTAGGCCCCGGTCTGGTTGAAGCCGCTGGCGAGGTGGATACCGAGACCGGCACCGGCAATGTAGGTCATGTAGCCAAAGACCTGGAATGCGCCGTGAATCCAGACCATGCCGGTCATGGAGACGAGGCGAATGGCGATGGCGCCAGTAGGGAAAAAAATAACAAACGCAAGGGAAGAGAGGACGCCGTGGGCAATGAGCTTTTCGCGGCGGTTGGTGATGGCGCCAGTGGCGGTGATGGTTGTGATGCCAGAGTTGGTGTTCGTGTTGCCAGAGTTGGTGTTCGTGTTGCCAGAGTCGGACGTGGTGCCAGTTGATGTGGTGGCGATGAGGGGGTTGACGCTGGATCCGCCCTTGGCTTGAGCAAAGTCCCAGTTGAAGACGCTGTGGCCGGAATGCTGGTCGATCTGGGCCGAAGTGTCGTCGGTGTTCTTGGGTCCGCCAGAGTTCTGGAAGGCGTAGATCCAGTTGCCGCTTGAGGACTTGAAGTCCATGGTACCTCCTGACCAGCTGTTGCAGTTTGAGCCTATATCTACTGTTAGCAAACAAGACACTTTGGGTTGACATGAGCATATTCTGATATTGTGACTTACACTTTACGTTGGCAGTCATGACGCCATTTGATACACCCGAGCCCTCGAGTAATGTGACCTGAGCATTGCTGTTGGGGGTTGGGGGTGCATAGCTGGAGGTTTGTCGGGGTGAGAGAGTGACGTTGTTTCCACTTGCGGATGTGTATACAACGAATATGTTGGAGTTGGCCATGGCACGTCCCTGGCCAAGTGCTACCCACTCATAGCTGCTTGGTGCTTGGATCTGGAAGAAGATGTCGCCTGTGCCAGAAGAAGCCGTGTCTTGGGGAATGTTTAGCTTGAAGCAAACTCCGGTGGATGGGCAGACATTGGCGACTTGAGCAGAGGCGAGAGATGCTGGGGTGGGTTAGTCTGATTGTCGAGGTGAATGGTCATGGGCAAGTACGAACCCAATGCGGCGAGGCCAAAGGCTGAAGCTCCTGTAAAGCCTCTCATGATCTTGGAGGATGCAACTGAATGGGAAGAAGCAATGAGAGAGGGGGTCCCGGGGGATGGAGGAGGTGTGCAGCGGGTAAGAGAAGTATCGTCTTGTGGTGGCCTTTGAGGGCGTGAACCAAGAGCTTATAATCACTGATGAGACGACTGGCTGGTTGGGACACAAAGAGAAGCCCAGAGGGAGTGCTGACAAAAGAACGGGGCTACGCATGTGCTCTCAGGCTCTGCACCCTGTGTTGGGGCGGTTTGGTATAGGGCAGGCTCCGGGTGTTGTACGCATGTCTGGCTGTGATTCGAGGATACAGGCCGGGGACGGCGGCTTTGCGGAGACCCGTGAGCTTGTGCTCGGGCTGTGTAAGTAGAGGGGAGAGAAACAAGACAGCTCGCAGCGTGTGGGCGGTACGCGTCATGTCAAAGGAACCATGCGACTTGGCCGTGGTGGCTCGCGTGCAGGGCCAAAGAAGCAAGCATTGGTGGCTGGCCAATGGGAGGGCGGGTGTTTTGGACATTTGCAACCAGGAAAACGCCCGAAGCAGCGCGAAGCGAGGAGGCGTGGGATGGTTTGGGCTTGCGGCTGACTGATGGATGACTACCACGCCGTCTTGGCCGTGATGCCGTGTCGCCAGACACTCCGCCAGCCATGCTGCGCCTCTCTTGTCACCGACTCCGCGCGTTCTTGCATCGCCGTCATCCTCACAACACCACCGCTATCATCATCATCATCATCGTCATCATCATCATCACCATCGCCGTCGTCACCGTCGGTCGTCTCCCGCTCCCGATTGAGACGGGTACACTACACCACACTACCTGCCGCTGGCTGCCGCCGCCGTCTGCTCTTGGTGTTCCTGGTCCGTGCCAAGGGCTGCCCTCTCCTCTCCTCTCCTCTCCTCTCCTGCCTCTAACCTAACTGCCTCAAGTCCGTAGTAAGTGCTACCACCCCCCCGCTGTCTTGCACTCCCGCTCCCTTAACCCCAGACACTCGCCAACCCACACCCCCAGCCCTCGTTTTGCTGTGCTAATAGCTTGCTTTTCTTCCTCACCCCTTCCCCGTTGCATCGGGCGTCGGATCTTCTCCGGTCTGCCTGCTAACCGCCACCCCCATTGGCACCGCCAAGTCCGGTCCCCGTTCAACACCATCGGCATCCCAGCACGCTTGGCCGATTGCCCTATCTCAACGTCCACCCAGCCAAGTGCAGCTATACACATGCTGGCCTTAGCACTGTCTGCATGTAAAAAGCCCATCTTGATTCTCGAGCCGCGTCACCCTGCAGCTGCTCGCTGCACTCGCCTCCGCCATGAATGCGCAAAATGTTTCGGCACGTAGATATGCTTTTGCGCACAAGTCACCTCGCCTCTGACGCCTTCTTTCTTCGCAAACATGTACTTGTTACACACTTCCGCATGTACATGCCAACCTTGGCTTGAAAACGGCCCTACTGCGGCTATGAGCTCTTCATCCGGATCGACGAATGGGCGTTGCACCGCCTCAGCTCATATGATCGACGGCCCTATCTCGGCCAGCCCTAGAATTATTGCTGTCACTGGCAGATTGTCGCCGTTGTCCTAGTCGTTGTCTACAAACTAATCACTAATCCAACCACCTTGGAACTATAGCTTCATCTCACCTGACCTGTGCGCCTCGTCTAGAAAACCTACCTATCCATGCATGTAACTAACCAACTAAGTATCTTTTTCCACGTCCGCCGACTAATCCTCTCTTGCTTTTTTGAAAAAGGTTGGCGTTGCCGTTTGATCTGGAAGAATGTTACCACACCAAGTTTGCATGTTCACATGCATACCAGCATCTCAGTAGTATGGTCGATCACTTTGACCATTTCAAGCTCTCTTGTAATTGGTTCTTTTCTACCTAGTTTCTTTTTTTTCGCCAACTTGCTTCTGCCTAAGTCTAGAAAGAAAGCACACTAGGATATGCTGGTTACTGACAAGCTTACCGCAACTGCAGGGCTAGCCATGAGTCGTAGCGAAGATTCATCCGAAATTAACTTTCGTATGGCGGTGCTGCAGGGAACACACAATGCCATGAGGTACATAGTACAAATCCTTGCATAAAAACAATCCACGGTGCCGAATACCCCGCAGCAACAGGATCGATTCCTCAACCGTTGGTATTCTTCCACGATGACGGCAAATAACGCGAACACTTAACCTCGCCTCGGCCATTCCTGTCGCGTTCGGTGACACTACACGCTACTGCTACCAATCGCATTCTACTTACAAGAACCGTGCCTTTCTTCCGATCCCATCAGACGCATTCCACAACGCTCCGTTCTCCTCACAGGATTTTTTCTTATCCAGCCGACGACATCATGCTACCCATCCGGCAAAATTTAGGGTTTGTCACAACCTGAGCAACGCCGACGCAGTCCACAGAATGATTTCAGTTTTTTTCTGGTTTCAGTCTACCCTGAGGCAACCTCTCCAGCGTCCTATTTCCGGCTTACCCTGATGCGATGCGTCTGGAGCTGCTGACATGGCACCTTGGGCGTTTCTCATTCTTTTAACAGTGTCGTCACAGTCCTTTCGGCCATAGCCGCGAGCGGTGCAATCCGGTGTACTTGGGATGCTCTTTGGTGACAGCATCACGAAAATGATCTGCTGACCCAGCAAGCTCTGGCAGTGTCTTCGGTCCCATAAATGAGCGAGTTTAAATTTGGTCGCGACTATTGGGATGGAAAACTACCACAGGTCCTGGGGCTACGACATCAACAGCTAGACCCATTCAAGCATTTCGGTGTTGGGCATGGCCAACAAGAATCAGCCGGCTGGGTGGTTGCAGGCGATATCAGCCGTAGTGATCACCATACCTTTGGAGACTGATGATGTTATACAACAGAACAAGGACATTGCAGACATTATCGCTGCATTCGCCAAGCTAGTCAACGCTGTGCCCACTTGGAGCCCCAAGACGAAGACTGTCATACGAGCAGTAGACATGACCGAGACTATGCAGATAGCCAGGCTCAAGTATCGGTAGGAGGCATCAATCATCGCTACTGAGTTCGGAAACTACAACTCTAGGATCCAAGAGCTCAATTATGCGATCGTTGCTTAGACGCAGGGTCTCAACCAGACCGAGAGTCTTCGCTGGGTGGTGGACCAGTATACAGACCTCGACGTAAACTCTAAGCTGAGGGAAGGTGTCGATGCAAACCATCCAGGGGATGCCAAGGCTGGCAACCAAGAGACGGTGAGGAGCAAATTTGCAGAGTATGCTGTGCACGAGGCGGAGGTGATCCAAGCGGAACTGGCGATCAATGTCTATGTACACCCATACTTGAAGAATATAGATATTATCTGCACATAACACTACAAGTCTGCGTTACAGATATCATCAGAAAAGGCTTTCCAGAGGTCTTGCGCACGTGAGTATTGAGAGAAATGCGTGGTTGCGAGCGTACATGAAGGGACAAAGGTGAAAGGGGATGCACGTGACCAGACGCACCGACAGGGCGCTAAAAGGGTCGTGGGGCAGCAGCCCAAAATGTCGAGCGGCCGATGAGCGAGGGCGCATCAACAAATAACAGCAATCTCGACGGCGACCATCTAACCATCTCCAAGCCTCCACACCCCTTACCCTCGCATGCTCTTAGCCCATCGCCGATCATCCAACAACATTGTCCCCGACAACCATACTTAGATATACGCCATGGGAGAATCAAGGTACGCCTGTCCAAGTGGGGTTCAGGCTCCTGCCAGACACTCGTCACCCTGGGGGGAGGGGGGCACGTCGCCTCATACGACAAACACGAACTGACAGAAACATGCGCGCAGGCAAGAACTCGTCGCCTGGTTGAACAACCTTCTCCAGCTCAACATCACAAAGGTCGAACAATGCGGTACCGGGTACGTCTCCCGCTCACCATGTATCGAGCCGCCACGGACTCGAAACGGGACACTTGGAAGCGCATATACTGATGGTTCGGTACAGAGCAGCACTATGCCAGGTCTTTGACAGCATATTCTGTAGGGATCCCAATCTGCCTGTCGCGGGAGTGCCGTTAATCCTAACAATGTGCAGATGATGTACCCATGAGCCGAGTCAAATTCAACGCCAATACTGAGTATGCATATCTGCAGAACTTCAAGATATTACAAAGTATGTCATACGCCTGCACCATGTCATCCCACCTGTAGATGACGGATTGCCCGCTGTCTTTGCCATGGCTAACCAAGCCAGACACCTTCGCCAAGCACCAGATCGACAAACCCATCCGCGTCGAGTCATTGGTCAAGTGCAAGATGCAGGACAACCTCGAGTTCCTCCAGTTTGTGAAGCAATACTGGGACCAGCACTTCCCCGGTCACGATTACGACCCCGTTGCTCGCCGTAAGGGCCAAGGCGGTATTTCCACTGGTGCCGCCCCCGCGTCCCGCGCTGCCACCACCGCCCGAAGAGCACCAGCTGCTAGTAACACTGCCGCTCCCCGAACACGTACTCCTCTCGCCTCTGGAGGAGGAGCTGCCTCTGCTGCGCTGCGCGAGGAGAACACTGCACTCAAGGAGACCGTCACCGGCCTTGAGCGCGAGCGTGATTTCTACTTCAGCAAGCTTCGCGATATTGAGCTCTTGATCCAACAAGCAATGGAGGCCGACCCCGAGCTTGAGAAGGACGAGGGTCTGCTTAAGCAAATCCAGACGATCCTCTACTCAACCGAGGAGGGTTTTGAGATTCCACCCGAGGCTGAGGGTGTCGAGGAGGAGACGTTCTAGCCGGGCGGTGGTCCTCCTGATGCCCCGGACAAGATGCGGAAGGAACTCAGACAGGTCATATTGGATGCTAAAGCGTTGTTGGAGGCGTCTGGGGGGTGTGGCTCCACTGGAGCTACTGGAGCTGTCAAAGTCAATAGACCCGCCAAAGGTGCTGACCCTGTAGACGCGACTGGATCTCGCCAAGGCGGCGGAGTGCTGAGAGTCGCCATGTTTACGGGATCTCCGTCATCTGCCTCATCGTATGCATCTGCAGGATCCACGGCATCTGTTGGATTGTTCACGCCTACCGACTCTTTAGAATCCATGTCATCTCCTTTGTCTGCCGAGTCTCCCGCGTCTCTGGAGAAGAACACGCTCTGATATGGGAAAGTCATGTTTGCATTTGGAAGCGCGAGCGAGGATACCACTTTCTGGGGGGTTTACTTCCTACTTTTTCAAATGAGGTTTATGAGTCGCATAAGATTTCGGTGCATGGGGAGTGGACAGTCGACGGTAGCACATGCGAATCACGTATTCCTTGCAATTCACTAGACGCAACAACAAGCGCCATCTCTTTTTTTTCTCATGTATAGTCTGCGCCTCGCACACCCATACCAGGTGTCTCATAATACTCACTTCTTTGAACATTTTTTTTAACTCGGTGTACTGTTTCAATGCTTGGTGCTGGGTTTATTCTGGTGAGTTGAAACAAGGTGAACAGTAGGCGCTGTGCTGTTGAGGCGGGGATGAGGTCCGCCGAGATGAGTTGAGCTCAGCACTGTCGTGTCACTGCTAAGTATCCACCTCCTCTGACCTCGACCCGGTTGCGCTAGAGGACCCAGCATTGTCCGCCTCCCCATCAAAACACGCGGCACCAGTCAGTCGTCCGATTCCGGTCAAAACCAGCGACGATAACGAGCGAAGTCGAGATATACACCCACGTGTGCACCATCGACCCCGCATTGCAGGCTACTACCCCTCCCTATAGCTCTGTAAGTAGCTAGCTAGCTCCGCGCGGGTGATGCTGGGATTCACGCGTTGTTATATACCTAGTGCACGCTGTCACTGTGCACCTTCTCTGTCCTCCTTTCCTGCTCTGTTTGTCCTTGGAATTTACAGCGACTTTATTATATCTCGTGAACCACCATGGCTGACTGGTCTGACCTGACTGCAGCTTTGAAGGGAACTTCAGACACGCTACCCAAGCTCCTTGAATCTGACGACCAACTGAGAGCTTTTGTCACTTCAGATGCCATTGACAAGCCAGTGACGTTTGGCATCAAGTCAAGCGCCTCCGACAACACGCTCCTTGTCACGGTTACCAACGGCAACGCAAAAGTCAGCAATGGCTCTTCCAAGGACGCCCTCTTCACCCTTTCAGCACTTCCTGAGCAATGGGAACAGCACTTTAAACCAGTCCCAGCCATGCCCTACCAGAGTTACTGGGGCATGTTTGGCATGAACATCAAGCAAAAAGGCATCGAGGTTCTGGGCGACCAGACGGCCTATGCGCAATGGACTCATGTATGGAGACGCGTCCTTGAGCTCATTCACGAAGCCCATTGCGGTCCACTTGCCGAAGAAGAGCAGGCTGAAATCGACAATGACTTTCTTACCGGAAAGTACACATATCTCGAAGCTCCTGTTTGGGGCCGGTGGTACGCAGGCTTCCTTTGCAACTCGGTATAAACAAAGCATACTGACGTTGCAATTTGGTGATAAAGCAAGGTCTTTTACGAATACTCGGGCGAAGGCAAGCAAAATATCATCTTTTTGCATACCGCCGGCAGCGACAGTCGACAGTACCATGGTGTCATGAACGATATACGGATGCGTAAAAAGTGCACCATGTTTGCGTTTGACTTGCCCGGTCATGGACGCAGCTTCCCTACAAAGAATGCCTCGGCACACACAAACACTGAAGACAGCTACGTGGGCATCATTGCTGCTTTTGTCAAGAAATTGGGTTTACGCAGGCCGATTATTTGTGGTGCCAGTATGGCTGGTCAGGTCTGTCTTGCAGTTGCTATTCGTCACAGAGAGGTCGGTGCAATCGGTACTATTCCTCTGCAAGGGTAAGGAGAAGAAAAAAAAGATTAAGAACGTGACAGACTTCACGTACTGATAATGATTACAGATCAGAATATCTCAACATGGAGCGTCAATGGAATGATCGCTCTCCATACGTCAATCAGTCATTGTTCAACCCGGAGTGGGTTTATGGCGTACGGAAACGATCATGTCTGAGCAAGAAAAAAAACATGCGAGCTGACGTGTTGTTAGATGATGTCTCCCACTGCGCCCAAGGCGAACAAACAACTGATATGGCATACATATAGTGCTCAAGCTTACGGGGTATGAAAATCTACAAGTTTGCTTCCTGGGGGTTATCTGATACGTAGCTAATCTCTGTCCAGATCTTCCACGGCGACCTCGACTTCTACTTTGGCGGCTGGGATGGCCGATCCCGCGTTGCATCCATTGACACGGCGAGCTGCCCCGTGTACATGCTGACGGGCGAGTACGACTGGTCAAACACGCCCGAAATGTCGCAAAAGACGGCGGACAAGATTCGGGGCGCAGTGCACAAGTCCATGCCTGACTTGGGCCATTTCCCTGCAACTGAAAATCCGGCAAAGTTTGTGCCGTATTTAATTGAGGCGGTGGACCACATTGTGCAGGTTCGGTCAAAAAATATGAGTTCCCTGAGGTTGGGTGATGGTACTGATTAGGATACTGTAAGAGAGTAAGTATATCTTAGACAGTTTGAATATACACGATACGTTTTGATTGCTTGAGGACTCTTTGATAGTGGTCAAGGTTTTTTTTGGTTGGAAATTAACATTTTCATTTTTTCATATGCTTCCAGCAAACTTGCAAATAAAAAAAAACACCCTTTAGAAGCCATCAAGTCCACCCCCCCCTCCTACACAACCATTTATAATTGTCAAAGCCAAAAAAAGAGGGGTATCATTCATTACATTAACCTAGTTATCCCATGCTCCTATTTCCCATAAACAAACGCCATTGGCTAACCCAAAAACCAACAAAAAAAACTCCATACATGTGATAATCAACACACACACACACACACACACAAAAAGCGTGGTTCATGCAGACCCTTTCCCCACACCCCCAAAAATGCAAAAAAAAAAAAGACAAAAACCAATCGACCATGGATGCAGTAAACCTGCTGGCTACCTAATCTTCTCAATCCTCTTCTTGGCAATCTTAATCTTACCATCAACACGTTGGACATCCTCGTCAAACAAGCCGAGCATAGCATTCTGCTCGACGAGCTCTGCATTAATCTGGACGCCCATTTCCTTCATACGGCGGACGATTGTGGTTAAATCGACAAGATCCTCATCTTGTTCCCTGATAATCTGCTGCTGGAGCTGCAGCACGCCTTGGTTGTCCAGCTCGCGGGTTCGATCGGTTTCCTGGGCCGGGGCGCCTAGAACGCGGCGGGCCGAGGGTTTAGCGGAAGCGGCGCCCTTGAAGAGGCCGGCTTTTTGCGACTCTGTGACGGCGGCGGACGAGGTCGAGGGGGTGGACGAGGAGCCGGAGCCGGACATTGCGGCTTTGACGGCCATGCTGTTGAGGACGGATTCGAGGCCGTCGCGCTCCTTGCGGAGACCGCTGACTACGTCTCTTCGTCTGCGGAGCTCGCCTTGGCCGAGCTTCTCGCCGCTCCATTCGTCGGTGCTGGTTCCGCTGAGGCGGGCGAGGCCTTCATCGAGGGCGGAGATGAGCGTGCTGGCTCGGACGAGGCTCTTCTTTGCGTTTGCTGCGGCTTCGTGTTGCGCCGTCGCGGCGGTGGCTTGTTCGCGCTTCGTCAGCCAGCGCCGGGCGTCTTGCAGGTTGCTCTTGAGCTCTGCGTGCTTGTCTAGCCAGTCCGAGCTATCTCTCACTCTGTCCTTGCCAAACTGCGATCCAGGCAGGTTGCTAGCCTTTTTCCCGTTGCTGATATCTTTGTCGCCCAGCCCCAGAAATGTCTTGTACGCTTTAGAAACGCGCCACCGCCCGTCTTCTGCCGTCTCAATGGCGCGCAGGTAGGCTTCGAGGCCTGCACGTCGCTTTTCAATGTTTTCTGGCGAGCTGCTGGTGCTGCCCATGCCAAGGAAACCACCGAGCCATGATTTAGGGGGCAACGCAGTGGGTGGTGCAGCGCCGACTTCTGAGCGGAGTGCGCTGTCCAGAGCGCAAAAGTCAGAGTAGCGTTTGGATGTGGTGGTTGCCGTGCGAGGAAAGGGATGCTCAATCTTGATGGTGTAGGCTGTGTACGCTTTTCCGTGCTCAGGAGTCTCTTCGTGCGTCTCCGGAATGGAGATTTTGAGTGACGGCATTTCTGGCAAAAGGTGGGCGAGGCGGGAGAGAGGAGCAAGAGGGAACAAACGGGTACCGCCGACGACAAGCGGTCTTGAGTTAGGCACACGCAAGTCGATCACGCCGCTAGTGCTGTATGTGGTCGCGTGCGCCGATAGTCGTTATCTGTGGAGGGGGTGGAGGGGCGGGAACTAGATGTATGTGTTCAGGAGAACGGCTTCATACACAGTAGATTGCAGCCTAGAGCGGTGGCACAGGGAACGCGGTGGGACGGAATAAATAAAAGGCAAGGCGATTCGGGCGCAAGATTCCGGGATGCGAAACTGCGTTGACGTCGTTGGATGCAGCTGCAGCACGCTAGCGCCACGTGCGCTGTGGGCCAAACCTCAACACCATGACTGCATCACGAACCCTGGATTTTGCCCAATTTGATTGCATCAACCTGGGTATATATATATATAAACAATCAATTTCACCCCTGCAATTTCCGTATATATGTAGTTCACAGTTTACGCTTCACCTGTAGGTGGCGTCCCCAACTCATTTACAAATCTCCCGCTCCTCTCCACCTCGCGCACCCACTGCTTCCACGGCTTGAAAACAATCCAAGAATTCATTTCCGCCGTTGACTTTCTTTCCCGCTCGCCCAAGTACTTTACACCACCTGCACCCTGCGCAGTATTTGCCAATAAAAGTGCCTTTGTTTGAACGCGAGCATTACTGGCAGCATAGTAGGCGAAATCCGTGACCTGCTCGATGCTCGTTCCTACGGTGACAAAACCATGGCCGCGCTGCAGAACCGTGGTGTGTGCTGGACTGGTGGGTTGGGTTTCATTGACGTCCAAGGTTTTTGCGAGTGCCGCACCTAATCTAGGGCTGTTAACGAGTAAGTCGCGTGCATCGGTTTCTTGGTACGCGCTCTCAATGTCGAATATGGGAACCGAGGTGCCAAGGAAACCTGCCATGTGGTAGACAGGCTCAAGTGGTGTGTCGATGACGGTGAAGGGAAGGACGTCCTCTGCGTGGCTGTGTACAACGGCATTTACGTCGGGATATCTTTTGAGAATCTCGCTATGGATATATCGCTCCGCGTAGCCACCTTTTGTGCCCTTTACTGGCGACCCATCCGAAATCAGATACTCGCCAATGTCTGAGGGGCCGGAGACTACCGCTGGGCCTAGGCAAGTGTGAGAAGAAGTAAACGCAAACGAAAAGAAAGCAAGTAGAGACGCATCACGGGAAACCGAAATATTGATATACCGAGCTGTAATGCGATGAAAAAGGTCGTGTTTGTCTTGGGGTTACGGACACTGACATGACCAAACGAATCAAGCACATTGTGGTACGACAAGATATGATTTGCCGTGATCAGGGTGGACAGTAAGGCTGTGATGTTGAGCATGATGCTTTCACTGACAGCTGTGTCAAACAGCACAATAGTAGTAATTGTGGTCAAGGGAGGTCGAAAACACCAGCAGTTATACAGAGGAGACGAGCCTGGAACAGGATAAACAATCAAGTATATGTAGATCAGAGCAAGAAATCTGCAGCATCATAGCTACGAAACCGTACATTGAAGATCTTACAACTATGCCCTTGGTGGCGCGCCCTAGTATGGCGCCGACGAAAACCACGCGTCTTGGTTTCCGCTCGGCGTAGGCGCGCGCACAAGCCACCAGCGGACAAGCGCCGAGCTCAATAGATGTGTTGTGTATATTACAAAACCTGTAATACTTGGTACTTGAAATTTTAGTATCATGAGCTTCCGTGGTATTATGTGCAGTTGGAAAATACAACATGCTGGCACAAATCCCTGAAAGGATCCAACAAGCAGCTCCTTGGCCGTGATGAAGTGCCCTTGTGACACCCACATAGGCCACGTAATCGTGCATGTTGTACAGTTGGTTAAAAAAAGCAAGTCTGTGTGACAATGGGTCAGAAATTCCATCATCGGCGTCCGCCGTTCATAGCACTTTGGTTGAATTCACTCGTTCCGTGTGCAGTGTTGTTTGCAAAGTCCGGAAGAACACCATTCGTGCTTATACCGTCCTCGTAACTCGAGAAGCCGCCGGTCATATCTGCCCAGTCCCATTCAAGTGTCATGGGCATTTTCCACAGATCTTGCGGGATGTTGTTGAAGTTTTGTTCAAACTGGCCCATGGCAGCCATTGCATTGATATTGGAACTTATGCCATTCACATCAGCACCATTTGTCATGGGCAGACTTTGCTGTTGCTGCAGTATTTGTGCGGTAATGCCAGGCGAGCCATACTGGTTCATTTGGACGTTAGGCTGCAATGACGCATGGGTAAAGTTTGGCGAGAAGGGAAATGGCTGAAAATGTTAGCTTTGTGTCTTGCAAAGGTTGGCCAAACATACCTCATTGAAGCCGTGGAAGTCTGGGTTAAAGATTAGGCCCTCGGATGTATTGGTGTTTTGCGGTGTAGTTGCCTGCTGCGGTGATGAGTGGTTGTTACGGCCAGTGGAGAGTAACTCGGCAGCCGTGGCTTCAATTTGTGCATCTTGTTCGCTGTCGCCTTGTTTCCTCTTTCGCCGCGACGCATGCTCGCGATCAGCTTTTTCTAACACCGTGGCTGCAATTCGCTCAAATTCGGCGCAAATAGTACACATGCGCTTCACACTGCCACTTCCCTGGTCGTCATTGAGCATATTCAAGAAGTTGACAACCAACTTCATGAGTTTGAGATCGGATCGTGATCGGGTATCCTGTGGATTTTGGAGAATATTTGCAAAGAGCGTGACGAGTGCCGTGACGGGGAAGTAGATTACGAGCCAAACACATGACAGGTCACCCTTTGGTATGTACTTGAGCAAGTGAATGGACGCACGAGCAGCCTGTACACAGAGCTGGGCCGACATGAAGACTCTGGGATTCAGGGGCCGTGCATTCAAGCCTTGAATGGCAAAATTTGAGAGTCGACTGGTCCAATATCCATGGTGGACACTCATACGGTGAATGGTAGTTAAGCAGTTGTAATAACCAAGATGTAGCACAGCAACCTGGAGGATGAGGGGTGTGTGCGATGCCTTGATTTCATGTTCTGGGCGGAATTCGAGGGGTATGTTGTCTTTCCAGGCTTCAAGTTCCTTGTCCAACTCGCCAATGGTGTTGAGAAGTTCGCCGTCGGTTTGCTTGGAAGCTCTGACTGAGTACAGGCCCTTGTAGACTTTGCTTTGGATCACGGCAAAGGTAACCATGAGACGGAAGAGGTTCATGGTGCGCTTGCCATCAGCGAGTGGGATGTTGCCAATATTGTCGGGTGGCGTCTCGCTTGGTAGCTCGACATTCATGTCATCATCGTCTTGCACTGGGGGTCTACCAGAACGTAGACAGATGCTTTGCAGGGTCAGTAAAGTATACAACTGAATAGATGGATGAAGCCTGGGGCTCACTCTTTGTCAAGCATATAGGCAATCCAGAAGACACGCCTTCGCTGC